GCCCACTTTGCCCGACTTGCTGAACACGTTTCTGTTAAAAGCGTCAGAAGGTGATTGGTTGTGGTGTGTTGACAGCTACAGGAGACCGACTAAGCGTGCACTTTTTTCACTGATGTTGTCCTTAAAAGCATGAAGTGGTGTGAAGCTTCGAGTGTTCTTTGGGCTTAGGTGAGGGAACGAGTCTATTTTCATTCGGCTCATTTCTGTTGATGTGAACTCAGTAAAACTCTGATTTGTTTGCATAAAGATCATAACCTAGGAATGTTTGATATTAATGTGTTTTATACTCAAAACATTCTTCCATAAAATCAAGAACAAAAAAAAAACGTTTTGTTTTGGTGAGATGAAAATATGTAGGTCTTTTACCCTGAAATGGGCCAGACGATGGAGATGGAGAGCTTATCTGCTAACCTGCCCACGCCGGTCCTTGTTAGGGTTAACCTTCCCACCGTCACCAGTGGTGGCGCTCATGCTCAGGTTTGGCTGAAGATTTAATGAAAGTAAATTAAATCAGTCTTAAATCTGACCCGTTGCTTTTTTGGACCGTCAGAACCTTTTTGTGAGCTGGTGATTTCTAAATAAACAGACTTTTTCCCTTAGTCAGTGAATGCAGCTTTACAGGTCTGGTTCCCATAGAAACCATGTAATACTTCTGGGGCAACGGTGGCACAGGAGTTAAGTGCTCGGCCCGTAATCGGAAGGTTGCAGGTTCGAGCCCCGCTCAGTCTGACGCTGTCGTTGTGTCCTTTGGCAAGACACTTAACCCACGTTGCCTGCTGGTGGTGGTCGGAGGGACCGGTGGCGCCAGTGCTCGGCAGCCTCGCCTCTGTCAGTGCGCCCCAGGGCAGCTGTGGCTACATCGTAGCTCATCCCCATCAGCGTGTGAATGTGGGTGTGAAAGGGTGAATGACTGATTGTGTTGTAAAGCGCCTTGGGGGGTTCCAGGACGCTAGAAGGCGCTATATCAAATACAGGCCATATACTTGTTCTTTCTGAAGTACCATCCGTCGTTCTGAGTTTCACACGCACGCTGAACGGGAAAATGTTCTCCGTCCCGTCTTCTTCTTCAACCGCAGAAAGGAAACAGACAAGAAAACGGTCAGGTCAGAAAAAAGCTGGGAAAATTAGTATTTGTGGCCCCGCCCACCTCGGCTTAGGCCCACCCATGGGAGGGCTGAACGATTTAAGCACGCAAAAAAGCGATTTTAGTTTGATGCACGATTTTCTTCCAGCCAGATCGGAATCAGAAGGTTTTATGGCCATTTGTGCGAGAATCACAACATTAGGAAATGACTGCGGTGCAAGAAAAAAATTAGAATAAAGACATAAGCCCAATGAAATGATAATAATATAGGGAGGCAATAATAAGAGAAGCAGCTACTTTATACGAGTCAGTGTAGATAATCAAGCTTCTGCACAACATTGACAATCTTCAGTAATATTTCCAAACATCGAACCATTTAACTTTGAATTACCGTAACTCGGCAACAGTTGAAGAAAGAAGAAGAAAATATCATTTTTATAGTTTGTGCCATCGGAGAAAATCAGAGAAGTTGCACCTTCAAGTCAACTTAGTGTTATTACGGTGAATCCCGTTCCACCGTTGCAGGAAGCCAGAGAATAGACGGGAACAGCATTAGCATCAGCTAGAGCAGAACCATGAAAGAACACCAACCAGGTGTGCAGCTCTTAACTGAACCTGGACTGTGAACTGAAGGTAAAATCTTCTCCTTTTGGTTGTGCTGCTTTTTCTCAGATTCAGATTGAATTGAACCTCGTTGTGAATGTAGCTGACAAGCAGTAGAGCTTTAGTTTAGCTGATCCATTGCAGCCGTGCTTGTTTACTATGATTTCTTTAGGATTTAAATGTCTTTAAACCAGTTATTATGACACAAATGTCACCTTTAGCCCGGTCCCACCCTGCTGAGGCTCTACATGAAGCCGTTTGGACCCAACTCTGAAAACCTTCTGGGATTTTTGTTCAATACATTGTTTTCCTTGGGAAAAACATCTGAGCTTGTTCCTGTTGAGTTCATATTAATTATCTGGTGGTAACTTGTGAGTTAGTTTAATCAAAGATTTAAAATATGTGCTTCATCACTAATTTATACCAAGTTCTTAGTGATGTTGCTGCGTCGTTTTATCAAAAACCTGCCGACCTGTTTTTTCTTCTTTTCAAGTGGTCAGAAACAAGAGTGTGTAGGGATTGGATTAGCCGTTGTTGACGTCCAGTGGCGATAAAAAGTCAAACAGCAGTCGGATCATTTCAGCTGCAGACAGATCAGACTGTCGGCTGACTGGAGGAAAGGGGTGGATGTCTGCTGACCTGTTGATAATGTTCCCAGAGCATCTGAATGATCTATGCTAACTCTAATCCTCCGGGCTGGCCCTACTCAATGGGATCATTTAGGGCATTTCCACATGTTGAGCTAGCCGACTCGTCAAAACGACCAAAAGTAGCAAGTAAAGGCTAATTAGTGTGTGTGTGTGTGTGTGTGGGGGGGGGGGGGGGTCTGTATAGTTCTACGGTTTTGCAACAAGACAGTATAAATATTTGCTTCCCAAAGTACATCTTAAAGGGATGTTATTCTGATGGGATGTCGTATATCTATGCTAACCAGTCTTTCCATTGTAGAGCTAATTATATTTAACCCTATTGCACTGAGCATGCTCGTGATAAAATAGTTTCCCTCTTGATAATAAAGTTTTGTCTTGTCTTTATTAATCGGGTTGTATTTGGCCGTTTATCGGGGCTCCTGGGTCATTGTGAGCCCCAACAAAATAAAAAAACGTTCTAGGACACCTTTAAAAGAAAAAAGGCTTGATCAAAGAGCTAAGGGATTTGGCAAAAGCTCTAAAAGCAGAGGAAGTATATAAGCAGATGACATCCTGTGGTTTCAGAAGTTGGCACCAAACAAAAGCTGCAGGGCGTTTACAGGAGGGAGCAGGTGGGTGTGGGGGCGGTGTAGGGAGGCAGGAACACCCCGGAGACGTCGTCTGGACGGAGACGGCTGGAAGAAGGTTGTAGGAAGGAGAACACATGCATCAGCGCTGCTTTTAATCAAACACTGTTGTTTCTGTTTATTTTTTCTCTTAAGTGTTTTTCTCCTCAGAAGAAGCTACAATGATGTTCTGCTGAGCTGTGGTGGCCTCATGGAGGGGACCATCGGCTAGCACGCTGCTGCTAACCACTTAAACATTCTCCCTCTCCGGATAATAACTTTTTACTCTGACATTGGATGTGCTACTACTAGTTTACCCGTTTAACTATAGATTCACTAGGATAAATACAATAAAGTTGTGTGTTTGTATGCGTGTGTGTGTGTGTGTGTGTGTGTGTGTGTGTGTGTGTGTGTGTGTGTGTGTGTGTGTTTTCGTGTGTGTGCGCGTGTATGTGTGTGCATGTGTGTGTGTGTGTGTGTTCGTGTGTGTGCGCGCGCGTGTGTGTGTGTGTATGTGTGCGCGCGCGCGTGTGTGTGTGTGTGTGTGTGTGTGTGTGTGTGTGTAACTTAAAGTTCTGACACAAGCCTCAGCCTTTTGTTGTTTTGTCTTCACATGTGGAGTTAGGAGGCTCTCCCGACCCTTCATGCTGAGAGTATTGAGTTGTTGTGGATATTTGTAAGTTTCTAGACTTCTTTACCAGGATTAGTACTTCCCTCTAAAACCTGCACATGTTCTGCCCTGAAGGTTACAGTACTGCGGCTGAAAAGTGCTAATTGTTTTGTTTTATTCACGTGTTAGAATAAACATTTAGTCCTGAATGAAACGTGTCACATAAAAAACATGAATCAGAGCTAATATTTATATTGCAATAGCTAAGTTTGTGTGCTTCGATGGTTCTGTGTCCAACTTTTTATAACTGGGCCATCCATTTTCATCCGCTTATCCGGAGTCGGGCCGTGGGGGCAGTAGCCTAAGTCGAGAGGCCCATACTTTCCTCTCCCCAGCCACTTGGGCCAGCTCCTCCGGGGGAATCCCAAGGCGTTCCCTGGCCAGGTGAGAGACGTAGTCCCTCCAGCGTGTCCTGGGTCTACCTTTAGGTCTCCTCCCGGTTGCACGTGCCCAGAAAACCTCACCAGGGAGGCATCCAGGTGGCATCCTGACTAGATGCCTGAGCCACCTCAACTGGCTCCTCTCGATGTGGAGGAGCAGCGGGTCTACTCCGAGCCCCTTCCGGATGACTGAGCTTCTCACCCTATCTCTAAGGGAGAGCCCAGCCACTCTTGGGAGAAAACTCATTTTTATAACTGATTTTCTAAAGAAATTATTGACATGAACATTTTAACATGCTAGGCTAATTGCTATTTTATTGCCATGGTAACACCCAGGGTGACTTTTGCCCACCTTTTCCTTTTCTGACATTTAAATCCATTCTTCCTCATTCTGTTGCTCTTCCAGGTTACTCTGACTAAGCCATTTACTCTTCAGGTTATGCTGCAGAGCAGGTAAACTGGACCATCCACTCGTGGTATTCTGTTGTCATTTCCTGTGGCAGTCTAATAAGGAAGTCCTCTTGTTGTGTTTAGCTTTCATTTTCTCTCAGGGTTGCTACGGCGTGTTTCAGCCTCATGCCACTCTTGTTGTTAGGAGTCCAACATTCCAGCTGAAAGGTTTCACTTCACCCTTGACGGAACACACGGACTAGCCGAACTTCCCCAAAACTGATTTCTGTTTTCCGAGAACAGGTTAATTTTTGTCTAGTGTTGTTCTTTGCGTTGTTGACACAGCTGGTAAAGTCAACACATGCGAGGGTCCGGCCAATCTGCGACGAGGGGAGTGGGGCCCCCGGGGGTCCGTTGATGGGGTTTTGCTCCGGGATCATCTGGAACGGAGGGTTTCTGGACCGGTTCTGAGCAGAGTCGTTATGTGGTGCTGGGGCCGGCGGACCTGCAGGCTGCTGGTCAGGTCGGATTTCTGCTGCTGGGACGGAGAGGATTTTTACCACGCAGTCCGGAGAAGAGACACACAGGTTGGATTGTTTGTCTTTGGTTGTCAGACAGCAGCTGATTTTTCCCCCACTTAGATTAGCTTTAAACACGTTTGTCTGAGGATATTCTGATAAAAACCATCGACTTTTTTATTCTCTTTCCTGTGCAATACGTAGCCCTGAACTGGCATAACAATAAATATAATAGTTCTTCATCTTTAGTATTATTTTTAACAAGTTTTTAAGCTTTTTATGTTTATTTTCAACTGTGGCTTTGGGTAAAAGCTCTTAACTTGAACTTTCCAGACCTGATGGCACTAATATCGTATGAATGTTGTTGGGTTTATTTCATTAAAATAAGATTCTCTGCTCATTTTTAGTAACAGACACAATATCAGCATTCAGTCACTTCCTGTTCAAAAGTATTTTCAGGTGTTTCAGGAAGGGTTTGGGTTGGGGTTAACCTCAAATCCCAGTCAGCACCTAGCCACGATTCTGAAAGGGATCGGTCTGAAAAAGATTCTGCTTTTGTGATTTTTTACCTTCGACTGAAGGAAATTATTGAGAAGCTACTCCACCGTGCCCGGGTGAAGGACAGAGCGGGATGTGCAGAAGTCCTGCTGCTGATTGTAGAGCTGGACAATTCATAAGATTCACGATGCAGCAGGAGCTTTGTGGAGAGGGCTTCCATGGTCCAGCTCCTGACTGCTAGCCTCACATCACCATCATGTTTACTGTTGTTTGTGGGGTTCATCAAGGCTCCATCCTTGGTACACCTCTCTTCACTGAACATGATGGTGGCAGAGTGCCTTCTCTGTTACAGGAGGGTTGCAGGTTCGCACCCCACCCTGTCTGTAGATGATGTCTTTTTGAGCAAGGCAGTCCATCCCTGCTGTTAGTGGTTGTAGGACAGCCTCGCTTCTGTCTGTTAGCCCTGAGGCTGCTGTAGCTCAGTGAGTGTGAATGGGTGAATGACTGGCGTGTTGTGAAGCACCTTTGGGGGTTCTAGGATTCTAGAGGGCAATTTGTACACACAGACCACTTACCATGATTTCAGGGGGATCTTTTTTTATTGTTTTGCTGATATTCTTCAGATCTGTATGACAGTCAGGCATTTATTTAGACGTTTCTGAGTAGTAGAGGGAGGTGGAGTGTACAGTCGGTAAAGACGGCTCTCCCTTGCCCTGCCTCCAACATGCCTCCATCTAAAAAGGCTAGGCTATCCAGAGTTATCTCTGTAGTTATGCTGCTATAGGCTTAGACTGCTGGAGGACACACTGACCACTTTCCACACTCGACTACTTTCTTCCACAATCTGCTCTTTAACTGTATTATTTCCTGCTACTTCAGCTGCTAACATCATAACTAAATCAAACATATCAGATGTGTTTATGATCTAAAACATGCAGGAAACCTGCTGGAAGCAGACTGCAGCACCAGCTATGTCAGCTAACCACGACTCTGGTCCTGATTTGGCCCTTTTTAGAAATAAACTGAATTGAATTTCTGAACAGTGTCAGGAAGCAAAGTATTTTTTGGGGACAATCAGAACTCCTTGGTGTTTAGGAGGAATCTCATTGCCCAAAATAAAGCCCTTCTTTCCATCGGGCAGTAATACAGTAACTCTAACCCTAAACATGGGCGACCGTGGCAGAAGAGTTCAAGTGCCCGCCCTTTAACCGGAGGTTTGTGGGATCAGGCTCAGTCAGTCGCAGATGTTGTGTCCTTGGGCAAGACACTTCCCCTTCCTTACATTCTGATGTTGGTCAGAGGGGCTGGAGGTGCCCATGTACTGCAGCCTCGCTTCTGTCAGTGTCCACCAGGTCAGCTGTGATTTCAATGTAGCTCATCACCACCGGCAGTTGAATGAGTGAATGACTAGTTGTGTTGTAAAGTGCCTTGGGGTGGTTGTAGAACCCAAGGAGGTGGCGTATAAAAACGGTCCGTGTACCATTTAATTACAGGCCATTTACCCATTCCTGGTCTCCTAAACTGGCTTCCTGTTCAGCACAGAGTTCGGTTTGAGCCTTTGTTTCTAGCCTGGTTTGACACCACCAGAGCTTACTGGACTCCTCCGTCACCACACCACCCAGAGCTTTGAGCTCTGCTACTTGTGGACATTTCCAGATCCAGACTCGGAACCGCAGAAAAACAGCATTTTCTGTTATGACCCGAATCTGTTGATGATCCCTCCTTTACAATAGATCTATTGTCACTTCGGTCAATGATATTATTATCTTCTTTATTACATTAGAGTTAATTTATGTTGCTTTTGCCTTACTCACTGGTGTGTTTTGGACATTTTGCAGTGCTTTGGCCAACAAATGTACTGTAGACACAAGCATGATTGTGTCAGAGGCTGTGGAGCAGCACGTTTACAAAGGGTCATGAATCACCTTCTGAAGTCAGATGGTGAAGTCTGGATTTGATGGATGCTAGGAAAACACTGATTGTGTCGGCTAAAGTTCAGTAGAGGAGAGATGAAGAGATGAAGGTTTGGGGCAGATTTTCAGGGTGTGGGCGTGGCCTCATCAGCTGACACTTAGTGGGGAGCACAGCACATCATTTAAATGAACCTTGCCACTGAGGTTCATAAGGATTATGTCATTGAGAGGGGCTTTAAATATGTTTTTAGTCTGCATAAGTCATTAATAAATCTGACTGGATTTATTTTTGTGCAGCTGGAGTTGGTCTATAGGCCCTCCAGGCATGGTGCCTTGCTTAAAGGCTCTCCTACAGGAGAAAAACTGCAGACCAGAATGCCTTTGGAACAGCCTCTCGTTACCAGTTTGGATGCTGATGTAGAGTTTGGACGTTTTGCATCCCAGTTTCAGCTGTTTCTTTGTGTTTGTGTGGGAGAGCTGGAGATGAATGCAGGCCGATAGCGTCGCCCTCCTGTGGGAGCAGTAAAACAAGTGGGAGCACCAGCCGGAGCCTCGGCAGCATGACAACATGTTCTGGGATTGATTTCTATCGGATGGAAGAATCAACAACATGGCCGCTCCTCAGCGTGCTCTGAATGTTTAGGGATCCGGGACGGATATTAGCATCACACTTCTGCTCATAGCTGCCGGGTTTGGAAGTAAAAAAAAATCTCTTTCATACCAAAGTTGTTACAGTGCTCAGGAATTTGCAGGAGTGCTGTTTAGGAATTTCTCAAGGATTCCAGCGCGTCTTTAGCAGATCAAACAGGAAGTTTTATTTTTTTCAAATGCACTAAATGTAATCTAATGGTAGCTAAAAGTAAGATCATCAGAACGATAACTGAATCTGAACAGCTTCTTTTGATGTGGTGCAGCTCAGTGATGAGAAAGTCTCTCTCTCTCTCTCTCTCTCTCTCTCTCTCTCTCTCTCTCTCTCTCTCTCTCTCTCTCTCTCTCTCAGCACAAAATATCAGTTTAGATGATGACGTGATCATCCTAAAGCACATTTCTTTCTAAATGACCACCATCAGTAATCCGCTGTTTTGTTCAGATCAAACAGCTCAGCTGATTTGGTCGTGATGGGTACAGCGCAGCAGTAGTTCTGTCTTATTCTGGAAAAAGAGCAGTTCCTGACACTGGCCAGCAGGGAGCGCGGCTGGGCGTTAAATCCTCTAAATCTCTGTGATCCAAAACCAATAATCTCCTTTGCATCTGCTGTGTCTCAGAAGCGGCCGGTAGCAGCTAATGATAGATTATTTGGTTTCATATGAGTTACTTTTGGAATTATTCCGTTTAGTTTAACACGTGGTTTGGTTTATTTATACTAAAACGGAGATAATTTTGTGGGGGTGTGGAAAAAGTAAAACACTGCTCCCCTTGGAGTAAACAGAGAGATGAAGAGCCATGGCTCAGATTCTCTGTTGAGACGTTTTTAATGTTTACTGTTGAGCTGCGCTTGTTTGTGTATAAGTTCGTGATTTCAGGAGAAAAGCAGAGCCCCCACTGTAGCTGATTGTTGTCTTTCCCCACACTGTCCTGCTGCCATAGCGAGCAGAAACAACACAAGGCCTTCGTTCCCCAATGCGTGACGTCAGAGCGGAGGAGTTAACGCTGCCTTCAGGAACGTCTGGGGTTCCTCCCTTTCAAAGTATTACAGGAGCTGTTAACGTTATCTTTTGAGTTGTTTCTAATGACACAGATAAATACTTTAAATAAATAGGATTGCTACACTAAGTCAGATACAGATATATTAAAAGAACAACAAAAACGGAAAGTTTCGGCCTAAATCAAAATCAATCGGGTTTTCGACAGTCACTAATCGGCTCAGCTGGAGAAATAAAGGTTTTCCGATGCAATTGAAAGCATCAATAAGTTGGGGGCGTGGCTTAGAACCCCCTCAGTGTGAGTCAGGAGGATTCTGAACGCCTCACGCCGCAGCGGTGATCTAACAGAGCTGATTTTACGGTCGAACCGACCCGAACCGGGCCGCTGCTTTGGCAGCAGCGGCACTTTAGGTTTAAAAACGCCAAGAAAATCTCTCTAAAATGCCGCTGTGACCAAACGCCCGGCATCCATGGTCTTTTTCCCGGGTATGCAAGCCGAGGCGCGCGGCCTCAAACCGGGACAGCTGCTCGAAATGTTTGACTCGTCATGGAAGGTGCGGGACATTTGGGACGGGGTGAAGCTGGAGGTGGTCGAGGACCCCAGTCCAGTGGTCCTGCACAGCTTCACCCACCTGGACCCGGACATGCCACTTCTCGAGGTGAGGATGAGGAGGGTGGAGGTGATGGGGACCCGTTAGCTGATGCTGTTTGTTGTGGCTGGGAGTAAGATGGGTCCGGGGTTCCTGTCTGATTCATCCGGATACAATAGTAAACTATTAATCACAAAGCCTTTGTACCGCAAAGCAAGCAATAACTACATTTATGTTTTCTTTCCTTTTGTTTTTGTGTGTGTGTGTGTGTGTGTGTGTGTGTGTGTGTGTGTGTGTGTGTGTGTGTGTGTTCGTGTGTGCGCCTAATATTAATGTCGATGGTGTGTACCCTGCGCTGACAGAATGGTTTGTTCTGATCCAGAACTTTATCTCTGCTCATCCTCGTTAACCTCATGGTGTTTAATCAGTTTACTGTTGTTGCGTGACTGTGTGTGTGACCCCCCCCCCCACACACACACACACACGCACGCACGCGCACCTGTTTATGAGTCTGACCCCATCATGGTGATGTAAGTCACAGCATCTCTGCTGGGTTGCACTTTTTATGTCAGCTTTGTGTGTGTGTGTGTGTGTGTGTGTGTGTGTGTGTGTGTGTGTGTGTGTGTGTGTGTGTGTGTGACCTATGTGGCTCTATATGAATGCAGGACATTTACCATATAAAACCATATAAAATCGATCCAGCAACAGAGTGAAATAAACCAATCTGCCAGTTTTTCTTTAATTCTTCTGATGATGATTTGATCTCTAAAGGCCACATTGTTTTGTACGTTGTTTTGTACGTTCTTCGCTCTGCATGTAGATATTAAGCTCAACCTCATATTTCTGATTGGGGAAAGCAGTTGTAATCCTTCCGTGCTTTGATGGTTTACTACTTCCAGTAAAAGTAAATCTCAGATTACGCAGCACATTTCTTAACCCATCAGAGAAAGAGGGAGGATAGGCTAATCTGGTCAGTGTGACGTAATCCACCATAACTCATTTTCCATTTGTTTTAGTGCATTAATTCAAGTTAGCTTCATCTGTCAGACCTGGTCTGATCTCACCTACAACTCTACAAACTCATAGCTGTTTGCAGATTGTATGTTCATAATTTACAAAAGCATTGTATACTTTAAGTATATTTGAGTAACCCCTAAATCAACTTTATTTTTCTGATCATCTGTATAATTATTATTTAAAAATGTAAAATTCTGTCTAAACTGTCATCGTTGCTCCTCTTCAGGCTAAAACTACATTGATTTTGAGTCAAGTCATTGGCGCTTTACAACACAACCAGTCATTCACCCATTCACACACACATTCACACACTGATGGTGATGAGCTACGATGTAGCCACAGCTGCCCTGGGGCGCACTGACAGAGGCGAGGCTGCTGAGCACTGGCACCACCGGTCCCTCCGACCACCACCAGCAGGCAACGTGGGTTAAGTGTCTTGCCCAAGGACACAACGACAGCAACAGACTGAGCGGGGCTCAAACCTGCAACCTTCCGATTACGGGGCGAGCACTTAACTCCTGTGCCACCGTCGCCTGATTGTATAATAATTAGTCTAGTCTCGACCACGCCTCTAGCAGGCTTGACCACTCGAGCTGATATTAAACAATACGGCTCAGAGCCGCTCGCCTCCTAAAAAGACGTCTTCCGTCCTTTCTTCTAGTGTAGGAGGTGGAGGGAAAATCCTCCGGCCTGCTGCAGTTCCTTTGTTCGTTCATCCTACTGAGATGTGTGTGTGCACGTACGCACTTGTTAAAGGCTTGTTTGACTGACAAACTCTGATAGCACATGTGGGGGTGCCGTCAGTCACTGCCTCCTTCGGTCCACCAGGCGAAGCCACTTTTAGGCACATCTGAAGTTTGGGTGAAGTAAGACTCCATCCAGGGGTAACCAACCCTTCAAAGACCAAGTTCACTTGTTTTTTCAACACATCTGCAGTGGTCTCTAGAATAAATCACACCTTGTGAGCTCTGGTGCTCTTGTTTCAGGAAATAGAAGCGAGCCAGATCAGACTTGAGCAGCAGACGATGGATTTGGAGTCTTATATCCTGATATTTGGACACCCCGCCTCTGATTGGATGCTCGGTGCCGACGTGGTTCTTATTTGAAAGTTGTCGGGTTTTTGGAAGCAAAGCGACGGTGAAACCAGAGACGAGTGTTGATGTTGTCCCTCCTCATCTTTATCTGCATCCTCCACGCTGACGCTGACTCAGCAGAGCTGCTCCCACGGCAGCTTAATAACAGCCTACGGTTCCGGGCTTCCCAGAATCTCCTCCAGCACAATCTAAAACAACGATTCATTCCAGAACCGGAACAGAACACTGCGCAGGACTCCGGTGACCCGCATGTCCTGTGATGTGTTTGACCCAAATCTGCATTTATTATTATTATTATTATTATTATTATTATTATTATTATGAACACAAGAAAGCAAACCCAAACTGCTGCTGTGATGTAAAAGCAGGATGAGCTGAGGGCTGTTCTTCATGAGCTCCTAATGACTAAAACACAGTTTGGCGAAGCGGGACGGATCGGGTTGGATCACTCGCTGTGGAAGACCTGACGCCTGGAAAAACTCTTCATACTGTTTCCTTAAGCCTCCTGTCTGTCTGTAGGGGGGGGGGGGGGGGGCATGGCAGCAGGTTTGTTTGTAGGGAATCAGATGTTGTTTTCCTGCAGAAATCTGAAGACTTTTAATCCAGCTGAAGCTGCCTGGACGTCCTCTCTTCTGGAACTGCACCAGGACAACCAGTGAAACCAGCTCAGATGTTACTGGTAGATTTGTCCTCAGTGGAAGGACAGACATGTGGACACAGCTGGGGGAAAGCTGCTGAAGGTTCTTAAATGTCACAAATTCTTCATGTTGGCTGGGAAATGATGCAGCTACTGGTGGCGTGTAAGTGGGCAGCGAGTGCTAACTCGGGCTATTTAATTAGCATTTGGGCTCATTTCAGGGGATGCGTTTTTACTTCTAGTTGTGATGAAACACCTTTGATTAGAGGAGGTTTACAGAAAACCATGGGTAAGGTTTTGTGGGTGGTTCCCTCTTCCAGATGACCTCAGAGGCCTTGGACGCTCGTTGTTGGCGAGGGCTGTGGCTGTAATGGACACTACTGTTGGCTTTGTTTAGCTGTTTACTGTTTGGGATGGAGGGTTAGGGTAGGGATTCAGCGGAGATCTGCAGATGTCCCAGTGTGCACCTGGTTCTCCTCTAACCATCAGGTGGAGGGTCGCTGTTTAGTCAGACGAGAGGGTGCTCGCTGCAGAACCACAAAGGCGGAGCTGCACCAGAGTCAGCCCCGCCCATTCACGCAAACTCAGCCTAGCCCACTGGCTTCTTCCGTTTTTGTTTTTCAACTTTATCGCAAACTAACCTGACCCACATGAATTACGGCTGTTACTGGTGTACAATTGTTGATGCTATGTTCTATGCTCCAATTAAACAAGATATATATAACTTGCTACATGACAAAGCCTGAATATATCCCGAAATGAAAAGGTTTCTTTTAGCGAATATCTGCCCACAGCCGCTCCAACAAAAGTGGCGTACAACAGCATTTAAGGCTATTGGATGGGTTCTGGTGGTCCAGTGGCAAGATCGTCTGACTTAAGTTTTGCCTTCCCTTCTGCTGATGCTGGTTCGACTCTCGGTGGGATCGGCAGCAATCTATTTAGCCAGCTGAAACATTTAATTTGTTTATATTTTAGTTGTAATGTTTATTTTCTGCAAAATATTTATGTCTCTAAAAGTTCTTTGAATTTGGTCGTTCCTAAACAACATTTTAGTTGAAACTCTGCTCACAAATGGACTCACACTGGCTAAATAAATGAATAAATAAAAAAAAACTAATGCATTAGTCATTATATTGTAAATGGTATACCAATAAATTGTTGTAAACATAGTACTGGCAGTGTAGCTAGAAAAGAAGAAAAAGGGTTTTAAACTACCTAACACTGCCGCTACCGGGAGGCGAACCTGTGCAAAACTGCATGTTAATCTGACTCCATAACCACTTCACCGATATATCTGATAAAGAGCTAGTGGCGTTACATGTAATTGTGCCATCCAGTGTGTCTTTGGAGATGGGATGTATGGTTTATTGGCGGTGTCTCAGTAGAAGTCATTTCAGAAATAATTTGTCAGAAAATTCACAGAATATCCAGATTTGAGAACCAAGACCAGACCCGCTTCGGGGGAGGAGACCAAATTGAAGCTGAGATGGGAGGACAATGTGTGAATGAGGCCAAAAATGGCTTTGGCGTGTTTCTTATGAGGAAATGACAATATAACACGGTACAAAGTTCCAAAAGTTAGATTTTTAATTATATGGAAACTTTACAAAAACTGTTCAATTAACTTCTCAACTCCGTCCTCAATATTAGCTATAACACCCTCTTTAGTTCCAGAATGCTATCTAGTCTTGACAACTGGAAGGAATTGGACTGACTCTGATGTAATGGGCGGGGCTGACTCTGGAATGGGCGGGGCTGACTGGTGTAGCTCCACCTTCTGGTGCAGCTCCGCCTTTGTGGCTCTGCAGCGAGCGCCACTTGAGTCAGACGCCTTTTCAAAAAACAAACAATGGTGCCACTTTAGTGCGAAGCTGAGGCAGCACCAGGGAGCCTGTGGTCATTCGTCAGGGGTCGGGCTGGTGGTGATGTCATGTGGTCGCATGTTTTTCACTAAATATTACACAATGGCAGGATAAAAGGGGGGTTAGCTTGGTGTAACTTGAGTTTATCCCAATGAAAGCCACGTTCCTTACATTTTTTTCACAAGCAAAATTTAAGCAGCTTAAAAAACAAACAAACAAAACAATAAAACTGGTGTGTCTATGCCCATAAAGACGTCTTCCTTCCTTTCTTCAAGTGTAGGAGGTGGAGAGAAAGTCCTCAGGTCGATTTTACCAACCCGGATTTTTTCCACCTTGTTTCCAGTTTCTCTGTTTCAGAGGGTGAGGGGGTGATGTTTATGTTTATTTATTTATTTAGCAGACGCTTTTTATCCAAAGCGACTTACAATTTATAACCTACAGGGCATGTTGTGATCTGTGGGGGAAACTGGAGAACCCGGAGGAAACCCACGCGTGCATGGGGAGAACACGCAACTCCACGCAGAAAGGCCGCAGCCGAGTTTCGAACCTGCAACCTTCGTGCTGCGAGGCACCAGTGCTAACCACTGCGCCACCATGCATGATGTGTATTTGTTTAGTCGTGACCGTGATTATAATCATATTAATGCCTGTGTATCGGTGTCAGTTATCGGCCATATTAGTGATACTAATATCTGCATCAGCCCAGAAATTTCATATCGTTCCATCACCCAGTCCTAGTTTCATGTGTTCTCTAGAGGCTCAGAGAGCGGTTTTCTATTGTTAAAAAAACAGGAGAAGTCCCGGAGCTCGCTGGGAACAGATGATCCTGGTTCTGAATGCCACACAACAAAATCAGACAAACCTGTTTTTGGAACTTCTTGATTGAATTTACAAAAACTGATGCATTTATTAGGTTTGAGGTTCATTAGGAAGGACTTAGCTGAGGACATTTATGAACTTTACTCCAGTAATCCCAGTTTAACCCCATGTTTGAAACCACTTCCTGTTTTTAACCAGGATAGTTTTCTGTAGGAATGTGAAGCCATTCAGACACAAAAACTGGACTTTGGAGGTTTATAACAGAATCTCTTAATAACTCTGTTGGTTTTTCCAAAGAAAACTCTCTGAGAAAATCAGAAGTAAAGATCTCGTCGTCTTAAGAGTTCAGCTTGCAGACAAACCAGCTCACGTCTGTTTGAAGTGTTGCAGAGAGAGTTTGTTCTCAACCTCAGACATGAACCGGAGCTTTATTGTAGGACCCGACTGGTTGAATGGACCGAGGTTGCTTCGTTTCCAGCGTTGATGGCAGCTCAGCCTCCGAGCGTCTGCTGATAAGTCGCTCGCCATCAAGACCCTCAGCTGCAGCTGTGCTTCAGCCATGACACCAAACAGGATTTACAGCACGTTGCTTCCTCCGTCTCAGACAAGCTCTCTGCACACATCACTCATGTTTCTGTCCTCTTGTGCCAGCAGCTGCTTCACATCAGCCACAGGCTGGCATCCTGACTAACCCCAACTAAACCAGTCACCTTTATCAACTCCACTGACACCTAAATGTAAGGACTGATCGGAGTTGGACACAGAGAGGTCTGTCGGGTTTAGTCCGTTTCTGCTGAACCCAAGCAAACTCCCCCAAAGCTGCAGGAAAGGACTACACACTGGAGGTTATGGTCAAAGGTCAACTTGCAACAACTGAACTTGATCTCAAACCTGGAACAGCCACAAATGCTGCATTTAATCCTCCGTTTGTTCAACTTGTAATTTTGAGATCGGCCTACTACTTAAACAATGTTTTTAAAGCCAAGCTAACACCAAAATAGTCGACTTTTAAGCAGGGTAGCCGCGGGTCCTTAAAAAGTCTTAAAAAGTCTTAAATTTGCTTTTCCAAATTTAAGGCCTTAAAAATCCTTAAAAATGACAAATAATCATTAAATCCCGTTTCCAAAGGTCTTAAATGACCAAAGACCCAATAAACAAAATTATTTTATTTCTATAAAATTTTCATGAATTTCTAGTTAGTGTTCAGCATTTTTTGTGAATGATGTTGGCGTAAGCGGAACCGTACACATTCAGTTGGTTGTGGAAGGGGGCTATTTTTAGATGAGCACAGAAGCTGGTTAAGTTAGTGGGAGCTTGCGCCATGGGGAAGTGTAAGTTTAATGGTAACTGGATGGCTAATCCCACGTTTGCGACGTGGTTAACACCGGTTCCAGGCAATAGCTGGGAATTATAGCTTAAATTTAATTTTAAAAATAGCTTAAATTTGGTCAAAGTGGCCTTAAAAAAGGTCTTAAAAAGTCTTAAATTTGGCTCTCTTAAACCTGCAGATACCCTGTTAAGTGAATATGACGTCTAATAATAACGCATTCAGCTTTTTCTTGTATTTAACGTCATCAAAACGCTTAAACGCTAGTTTTGTTTTCTTTTATTACAGAAGCTAATTGTGAAAAACACAATGAAAGCTGTTTCTTCACAGGATCATTTATGGCTGGGGTGGTCAGGGTTCACGCACGCTATTCAGGCTCTGTGTACTACCCTGACTCGGCATTAGAGGGGGTCAGAGGTCACACTGATGACCCTGATAAATCTCATCTGCTCTGCTTAAACCTGTAGCGACATGAATGACCTCATATTTGTGACAGAAAGGTCACACTTTCCCAGCTGGGTCAAGCTGGAACTTTTGTTCCACAGATTAACCATCAGGAGCCGTGAAGTCTGCTAAACATCATCTTTTATCCGTCTGCTGTTCCGTCCCAAGATGAAGGACACTTCAAGATTTTTAAATAATAATTTTAATAAACAGTTTTTACTGTTTATTACAATCATATAATAATCATCATAAATAATCATCATGGTTCAGTATGAATGTATTTAAAGAGCAAGTCACCCCCTACCAGATTCTAACTCCACTCCCACTTCATGTTTGAAAAATGCAACAAATGCTGTTGCTTGGCAGACCGAGAGGGCGGAGCCGCTAACAAATACAAACACACACAGGCTCACAATGGAATTATGACATCATAATATACCAGATGACATCATAGCATACCTCTTAGCCAATAGTGGTGGCAGATTTAAATTCAAATACAGTGCAGAATTTTTCCCTGACGACGGCGCAACACTGACAGTTTTAGGCAGAATATTTGAATTTTAACCAAGATGCACTGAACTGCCAAATTATTGACTACACGTGTCTGCAGCATGATTAGACACTCCTTTATATAGTTTATCAGCAAAAAAAATGTGATTTGGGGGTGACTTGCTCTTTAATTACTGAAATGACTTATTATTATTTGGGTTAATAATAATTATTATTTATGACAATCCGTAATGTGTGATCATTAACCAGAAGGTCATTGGCACGTGTGCACATCATGCAGGACTGAATCCAGGGTAAAAGTTAACCACCTCACACGCCTTTGCTCCATGACAAAAGCTTTCTGACGCTGAGAGGGCGCGTTCTGAGGTTTTGTTAAAACCAAATCTCCACAGCTCAAGTTCAGTTCTTGAACCAACCAGAGGACGAGGGTCGGCCGCCCAAGCCTCTACTAAGCTGTTCTGTCACACCGATAGAATCGCTCTGAATAAACGTTTCTGTAACCAGCTGACGCAAAAACTCCTTCAGAGTTATTGATTTTGAGACGCAAATAGTTTCATCAGTCGTTGTGACCCAGAGACACCTCAGGACCGATTTGAGTCGCACTAAGGTCCTTCTACCAACCTCGTGCTCGGAGGAAACCATCTCCACCTGACATCTCGGATGCTCAGAGGGTCTCCTGAACCGGGTGAGGTAGGCACTTCCTGACAGATGGTGTCTGATGCCGTTCTCTTTAACCCTTTGATGCATTATGGTCACTACAGTGGACAGCTACTCAAAATTGTTATTTATTTTTTTTTTGCTATTAAGCACAGCTGTTGAAGACTTTATTGCGTTTGAGCCCCTCCATTTGGACTTCAGTAAGCCAAGCCAACATATTTCATGTTCAGATTGCACGCTGTCCACCAAGGTGGACATGTAATAAATTATTTGTAAATTATAAAATTTAACAAAAAAGTATTTGTTGAAATTTGTTTCATTCACAGCTAAAGATTTATGAAAAAAACTGTTAAAAAAATCATGGTTGAAGATTTCATAATTCATGCATCAAAGAGCTAAGAAACCATCAGTTAGCTGCAAAAACAAAAGTTTTCACCCAGAACGCGTTTCTCTCTCTGAAAGAAATCTTCTGAGATTCATTCACGCATCCAAACCTCGCATTTCATTTTAGCTTTTCATTCAGACACAGGTAAAGCTTTTAATAACAAGTTTAATATCAAGCTGTTACAAATTGTCATTTCAAATTGTCATCTTTAAAAGTGTTAGTAATAAATTCTTGACTTTCTAAATCTGACTCTTCTTTGAAATGAAGCACAGAATGGTTATATTTGGTTATTGAATAAGCAAAGATTCCTTTAAGCTTCTGATTCAATAAACTTTTGCTAAAATTTAATTATCTTAAATTAAACCTTAATCTTTGGATTAAAATATAGACCAAGACAGTTGGTGTATGAACTTCTATCGATTGCATTAATATCCTAGATATTTATGCATGATATAAGTTCATTTGCTAATGTGTCTGATCTTTTCTCAGGATCTAACCAAACTGAAGCAAACAGTGTTAAATCCTAGTATGTGGATGTGCCCACGCTGCAAACCAGACTAAAGACTTGTCTGACGCTTCTCGTCCCATAGAGCTCGACGCAGGAGATCGGCGAGGAGGCCGAGGAAGATGCCATCTTCACCATCACGCTGAGGAAGGTGCAGCTTCACCAGTCGGCCAGTAAGGGTCAGCGATGGCTGGGCGTGGAAACGGACTCTGCTCTGAGCCTCTACGAGACCTGCAAGGTGCGAACCATCAAGGCTGGCACGCTGGAGCGGCTGGTGGAGTACATGGTGTCGGCTTTCAGGGGAAAAGACTCCACCTACGTCACCATCTTCCTCTGCACCTACCGGTCCTTCGCCACCACCAGGCAGGTGCTGGATCTCCTGCTCAACAGGTACAGAGATGTTCTGAGATTGTGTTTGACGTTCTTTTGAACCGTTTCTAGAAGCAAAGCGCTTTCTGTCTTGTTGCTCAGTGCTTCGTTTGTCTCCGTAGATACGCCAAGCTTCAGAATGTTCCTGCTGCCACCGTGCACCGGGTCTCCCAGGACGACCGCACCGAGCTGAGAAAGTAAGAGCAGCAGCCCGCTCCCCCGCCAGTGAAAGGCCTGACAGGAGCGGGGTGTTGATAACACAGGCTCCATGACCTGATAGTCTGTAAAAATGACTAAACAAATACCCCCCACCCCCAAAAAACCAGATAAATAAATCACTCCCCCCTCCTCTGAAACAGATAAACAAGCTCATAAGCGCCTATGATTACGCACAAGCGTGACGCGTCAACCCGGTCTCACAGTAAGACCGGGTTGGACCTGTTCAGGTTTACGCAGACAATCTTTACATAGAATTGACTTACAGATATAAAATTAATTCAGTAAAATATAAAGCATTTTATTTAAATATCCATTCATTATTTTACAAGCACAGAGAGCCGCATCAGATGGATGGAAGAGCCGCGGGTTTCCGACCCCTGGAATAGCCTATAAAATGACATGTTGAGGACGCAAACTCAATACATCTCATTTATTGTGAGGTAATAATTTCTGAGTTTTGCGGTTGCGGGCGGGAGTAGACATGCACACTGCAGGTGCAGGCGGAAGTGTAACACACGTTGCAGTTGCGGGCGGTAATTGTCAGAAATTCAGCGGGATGAAGAAAACAGTCCCGCGCAGGGCTCTACTGCTGCGTTTTAAGTGTTTCAATTTTTTTTATGAATTTGATTAAAAATAAAGGCGCCCGGCTCGTTTCCGAGGTAATTACACAGTCGTTGGCCCAAAGTCCGGCCCTTGGGCCGTCTGGCCGGGCCGACCCGAGGGCCTAGGGCTTCAGTGCAGGGCTCTACCCCCCTCCTCTGAAACAGACAAACAAATACCACCCACCCCCCCGTAACAGATAAATACCCCCCCCCTCCGAAAAAGGTAAACAAGTACCCCCCCCTCTCCCTGAACAGATAGACAAATACACCCCCACCCCCAAACAGATAAATAAATCACTCCCCCCTCCTCTGGAACAGATAAACAAATACCCCCCCCCCCCCCCCCCCCCCCGGAACAGATAAACAAGTACCCCCCCCCCCCCAACAGATAAACAAGCACACACACACACCCCTTATTGAGTTCCAGAACTGCGCACACTCCAGCGTGGTGTGTGATGTTTTGTCTGATGGCGTTTGTGTGTCCAGCACCGTGTCGTCCATCCTGGGTGCGTGGTTGGATCAGTACTCCGAGGATTTCTGGAGCCCTCCCAACTACGAGTGTCTGCACCAGCTTATGTCTTACCTCCACCTCCACTTCCATGGCTCGGACCTGGAGCGCCGCGCTCGCAACCTGTTGGCCCACTTCCACCGCCGACAGCAGTGTGAGCCTGATCCTGATGGTAGGGGGGGGGGGCGCTTGATGCTCTGCTTAAGGTCACTTTTATTGAGTTGAAGTTACTGTGATGAGTTTAGATGCTGCAGGAGGAGAAATCCCCGGAGCAGACGTTTGGGTGAAGCTGAGGTGGAGGCGGTGCTGGTGAAACTTGTCTTTTCTCCTCCAGGGGAACACATCGGCTGTCCTTTCGCTACGCAGGAAGAGAGCGGCTTCGATGACGAAATTCCTTCTTTCAGTTTCCTGTCGTTTGATCCCATCATGGTGGCCGAGCAGTTCACGCTCATGGATGCGGTGAGGATGTTTCTGTCCTCTCGTGTCTCGTGTCTCCGTCCCTCCGGTTTAGATCAGCAGAGGGTGTACCAATAATTTCAGTTTTAGACAAAAACTCTGAGACTGATGACGTCTTCCTTTTTTACGTCACTTTGTTCTCTTTTAAAGGTGTGGTTCATTCATTTAATCGATGCTGCAGCGGTCTCTAGTAGGAATAAAGGCCTTGTAAGTTGTTCTCTGGGGGGAAAAGCTCCGGTGTGCCTTTTTGAGGGTCTAGAAGTGAGTCACATCAGAGCTGATCTTCACACGGCAGGATTTAGTGTTACTCTGGTGTTTTATCTCCACAAAGAACACATGCCTGGAGGAGTTCTGCTGTGTGGTGGAGTTGCTAATGCTAACGTTAGCTTCTACTAGCAGAGACGTTCTCTGCTGTTTCCTGGACTAAACCAACAACAGCCTTCCCCGTCTTGAATCCAGATGGGTGAATCCATGAATGTTAGTGACAGCGTGACGTAGACCTGTCAGGATTTTCTAATCCTAGAGTTTCACCGTCTGTTTTCTACCAGAAGCTACTGTAGCAGATAGGTGTAGGAGATAAGTGACCCGTTAGAGTCAGAGATGATCATTAAAGCGTGGATTATCAGTGAACCACACCTTTAATCTGCTCCAGATGGAGTCAATCAAAAATATTACCAGTTTACTGGTGTGTGTGTGTGTGTGTGTGTGTGTGTGTGTGTGTGTGTGTGTGTGTGTGTGTGTGTGTGTGTGTGTGTGTGTGTGTGTGTGTGTGTGTGTGTGTGTGTGTGTGTGTGTGTGTGTGTGTGTGTGTGTGTGTGTGTGTGTCATTTGGACTCGAGGCAAAATAAAAAGTGATACTAGAATGATAAACAGACTAAATTTCTCTGCTCAGTTAAAAAACACCAAATGTGTTTATTGTTTCAAAGTAGGCATTTGTTCACGTAACAGCTTGCCATACTTGCTTCTGCAGATGGACCAGAGAGACAAAGTTTGTGGTTCTGGGGCAGCATGGACCAGAACCTTCTGGTTTAATGTCCTGTGTCCTTCTGTCTGCCCAGGATCTGTTCAAGAAGGTGGTGCCGTACCACTGCCTGGGGGGCATTTGGTCTCAGAGAGACAAGAAGGGGAAGGAGCACTTGGCCCCCACCATCCGAGCCACCGTGGCTCAGTTCAACTCTGTCACCAACTGTGTGATCACCACCTGCCTGAGCACGCCGACGCTGAAGCCCAATCAGAGAGCTCGGCTGATGGAGCGGTGGATCGACGTGGCGCGGGTGGGTGTTGGGGCTGAAACCAGCGCTCGGGTTGTTTTATTCAATAAATTCTTCCTATCAAGCGGGGGCTGAAAGAGACACGACGATCGTTAGGAACTCCACTCGCATAAGAAAAGCCCCCCCCCCCCCCCCCCCCCCGCACACACACCTTGTTTGAACTGCAGCGGTGTGTGGCTGCCCCGCAGCAGCCACCTGCCATCGCTGCAGGTCTATGGCAGACTGTTGTAGTATGTAATATACAAACACTTTTTTCTTTGAACGTAATTTTGGATTGACCTGTAATGCAGTAGATATGCCACTGTTATATTGGTACCAATAGAAATGTTATTGGCGTTTCCAGTAGCTTACACTGGAGCTTTGCTAATTCCGACTGGATTATGGGAGAGCCAAGTTTATAAACTGTAGCGTGACTCTCCCGTAATCCAGTCAGAATTAACAAAGCTCCTTGGATTAGGAGCGAAACATCTTCAGGAAACCAAAGAGGTCCAGTCCAGTTGCCTTCATCTGGAAACCTTTGGATGACCGTGACCTGGATGACTGAGGGTTAGGGTTAGGGTTAAGCCTTCACCAGCATGTGGTGTAACTGTCGGGATCAGCTGCCGCTGAACTGGAGACCTGGTTGTGTCTGACCGTGTTGCTTTACTCCTTCAGGAGTGTCGGATCCTGAAGAACTTCTCCTCGCTGCGGGCCATCCTCTCTGCTCTTCAGTGCAACTCCATCCACCGCCTGAAGAGGACCTGGGAGGAGGTGTCTCGGTGGGTTTGGCGCTCGGCTCGGCGCTGTCGACGGACACGTTTGGTTCACACTTCATCCTCTTCATGCTGGGATCTTTGTCTCTGCCCACAGCGAAAGCGTGAGAACGTTCCGCGAGCTGTCGGAGATCTTCTCAGATGACAACAACTACTCTCTGAGCCGGGAGCTGCTGGTGAAGGTGAGTGTGGGCTTGTCGGCCGGCTCGGAAGTAAACAAAACTCAGAAAAACGCCGAGGACCACTGAAGTGTCAGAGTACACCCAGACCGTGTTAGCTGTTAGCGCTGATGCTAAGTTAGCAGGTGAGCAGCAACGAGCCTCGTCTAAATTCGCCTTTCCTGATTCAACCACATTGTTTTTGTTTAATAAACTAAATCTTTATACATTTATTAGAAATTATTTTTAATTGAATTAACTGTAAAAATGATAAAAACAAGCTCGTCCAGTTATGGCTTTTTTTTAACCCTCATCTCTTTATTCCTTCCAGTTTTTATTATGATCTTTTTCGGCTTTATTTTTATTGTTGTTGTGAAGTGCCTCCAGATTTTAATCTTGAAAGCAGCTACATTATAATATCCTTTCACCCCACTCTCCCGTCTCAGAGTCCTATGCCATTTGACCTGAGAGGCTGTTGTCCATCCATCCATCTCCATGGATCGTCCAGAGTCAGGTCGCGGGGTGGCAGCCTCAGCCGAGAGGCCCAGACTTCCCTCTCCCCCATTTCTAAGGGAGAGCCCAGCCACCCTGCGGAGAAAACTCATTTCGGCCGCTTGTATCCGCAATCTCGTTCTTTCGGTCATTACCCAAAGCTCATGACCATAGGTGAGGGTAGGAACGTAGATCGACCGGTAAATTGAGAGCTTCGCCTTCTGGCTCAGCTCTCTCTTCACCACGACAGACCGGTACAACACCCGCATCACTGCAGACGCATCACCAATCCGCCTATCCATCTCACGCTCCAGTTTTCCCTCACTCGTGAACAAGACCCCGAGATACTTAAACTCCTCCACTTGAGGCTGGACCTCATCCCTGACCCGGAGAAGGCCAAGACCAAATCAAGACCATGGTCTCAGATTTAGAGGAGCTGATTCTCATCCCAGCTGCTTCACACTATATAATTTTTTATCTTCAGAATAATAATCGGCGAGCTAGAGGCACACGTGGGGGTGGGGGGTTCCCTTCTGATGTCAGCGGGAGGAAACCTGAAGCAGGTGTAGATATCTGCAGGGCGTTGCCCGCTCTGCTCTCTATCAGCCTTAGACCAGGCTCGGCTCGTGATCTGCAGAAGGTCTGCTTGCATTACATCACTCTGAGGAATGTGGGGGAGGGGGACAGCAGGAGATGGATCTGCTCCCACGTTCCCTCCTAAGTGAGTCCGATGAGGTTTTTCCTGTTTGGAAAACGGCAACAAAGAAAACTTTTTAGTGATGAAATAAACCTAAATCGTGCCTCAGCTGAACTAATCTGTAATTTCTCCTTCCAGCTCCACCTTCAAAGCCTCGTTTCACACATTTGTTTCCATTTTCAGGGTTGCAGGAAAAGTAACTCGGTCTGATTCTTTGTCCATCAGGAGGGAACCTCCAAGTTTGCAACTTTGGAAATCAACCCAAAGCGAGCGCAGAGGAGACACCAGCAGCAGAGAGACCTGGTCAGTCTGAAACCCTCAAGCAGCCTTAGGCGCCACCTAGAGGCAGGAGGAGTCTCTGCAGGTTCTTCGGTCCTCCGGTGGCATTAAAGGTTTGACACGTTCTCTGCTCTGATGGTCTACCTGTGAACAGGGCGTGATGCAGGGCACGATTCCTTACCTGGGAACCTTCCTGACGGATCTTGTGATGATGGACACCGCCATGAAGGATTACACCGAGGTCCGACCGGAACTGGCTTTTCCTGGGTGTTACGTGTTTTCATGTTGAAGCTGACGTTTGTGATCCTCTCTTTCAGGGTGGTCTCATCAACTTTGAAAAGAGAAGAAAGGTGAATTTAAGCTTTTTGTTGCTTTAAGATGCGATAAAGGAAGTGAAAAGGTCTCCAGAGGGAGCTCAACGCTGGATTCTTCTCTTGCAGGAGTTTGAGGTGATCGCTCAGATCAAACTGCTCCAGTTGGCCTCCAACAACTACAGTTTCACTCAGGACAGCCACTTCAGAGAGTGGTTCACATGCGTGGACAAACTCAGCGAGGCAGAAAGGTAATCCGTCGGAAGTCTGAGGAAGGAGCATCGGGCGTTTTGGGGGTTTCAATGAAGCTTCTTGTCTCGCAGCTACAACCTGTCCTGTGAGATCGAACCTCTGTCCGAGTCCGCTAGCAACACGCTCAGAGCCAAGAAGAACGGAGGGATCATGAAGCGCTGGAGCGAGTGCGTGGCCGAAAGTTCCATTTATCTACAATTCTTCTCGTTTAAAAGCTAACAGACTCGACCCTCCTCCTTTTGTTTCAGCCGGCAGCTTGCGGAGGCTGGCTCCAGCGGCGGCGGCTCTCATTCCAAGTCCTTCGACCACTCGCACTACAGACCATACCAAGGAGGGGGAGGGGGGGACAGCGGCGACGCTCTGAGCGTCACCTCTGTCAGCTCCAGCGGTTCGGACCTGGAGGACGTGAACACTAGCTTCCTGTCTGATTCACCTGAGGGACAAGAGCGGAAGGTGAACACGAGGAAATCGTTTAGTTTTGTCTCAGTCCCTCATTTGGGTTGTCAGGAAACTATACTGCCCCCTTCTGGCCAAAATAGGCTCCTGACGACATGATGTCACAAAGCACTTAAAACTTTTCTGTCAAACATTTTCTTCTGTTTATTTTCTGCAAAAGAGCGTTTTCTCCCCATTAATCAGAGTTTGTCTCTGAACCCGTTCTGCTGTCCAGCCGTCACCAGGCGGGAGGCAGGGGACACCTGGGGCCAGGCGGGAGGCGGGAGACACCTGGGGCCAGGCGGGAGGCGGGAGACACCTGGGGCCAGGCGGGAGGCGGAGGGCACCTGGGGCCAGGCGGGAGGCGGGAGACACCTGGGGCCAGGCGGGAGGCGGAGGGCACCTGGGGCCAGGCGGGAGGCGGGAGACACCTGGGGCCAGGCGGGAGGCGGAGGGCACCTGGGGCCAGGCGGGAGGCGGGAGACACCTGGGGCCAGGCGAGAGGCGGGAGACACCTGGGGCCAGGCGGGAGGCGGGAGACACCTGGGGCCAGGCGGGAGGCGGGGGACACCTGGGGCCAGGCGGGAGGCGGGAGACACCTGGGGCCAGGCGGGAGGCGGGAGACACCTGGGGCCAGGCGGGAGACACCTGGGGCCAGGCGGGAGGCGGGAGACACCTGGGGCCAGGCGAGAGGCGGGGGGACACCTGGGGCCAGGCGGGGGGCACCTGGGGCCAGGCGGGGGGCCTCGTTTTAAAAAATTTCTAATGTGATCAGCTGTTTCTGTATCACATCCCTCCTCCTGGGATCTTTCTGCATGGAGTTTGCATGTTCTCCCTGTGCACGCGTGGGGTCTGTCTGGGTACTACGGCTTCCTCCCACCATCCAAAAACATGACTGTTAGGTTAATTGGTTTGTCTAAATTGTCCTTAGGTGTGAGTGTGTGTGCAGGATTGTTTGTCCTGTGTGTCTCTGTGTTGCCCTGCGATGGACTGGCTCTCTGTCCAGGGTGTACCCTGCCTACTTGCCCGTTGACTGCCTTGAGATTGGGTCATAATGAATCTGTTCAGTTTGAAGCTGCAGAAGACTCTAAAGATAACCTTTGAAATGTTTAAAGTCTACCCGTGAACTCTAGCGGGAACTAAATGTGGATTAATCATGGGACATTAGTGGCTGTGTCGGGTTTTAAACCGTTTTCTGTGTTTTGTCTCCAGACGTCCACGCCTTCGGTGAAACTCACCGTTTCTGCTCTGGGGAGAGAAGCTCCAACAGCAGAGACAACATCAACAGTAGGTTTGGGGCTCCAGAGACACTTTTTACATGAAATTAAAGAAATGTCTGCATTCAGGGTTAAGTTCTCAGGTGGAGTTCAAACCAACTTTATTTAAAAAGCACCATTTCACCACAAGCGCTGAACAAAAGCTGTTATGTTATGCAGTCGTGATCCTAATAATAAGATGAGCGTTAGCTTCATCTGGACCTGCAGGCAATGACACAGACATCAAACCCACACTGGTAAACAGGAAGTCCAGATCAGGAGAGCTTGGGAACTACAAGCTCCGCCTCCCACGCTGGTCCTTCAGGCCAGGCTGAAGACCAATGGTGCTGCTGTGGCCCCCAGACTCTGGACCTCTCTCCCCCTGAGCCTGAGATCAGTGGACTCCTTTAAACTGGCCTGTTCAGGCTTTGGTGGGACCCCCTCTTCATCCTCTTCTTCCTCACTAGCTTCTCCTCATGCTGCTGTTTCTACCAGTTCTGCCTTTCTCGGGATCCTGTGTTACATTTTCCATTTTTTATTATTAAATCGTTTGATCGTTTTCTTTTTTACTTGAGGCTCTCTAAACGGGGCATCCGCGGGTCCTTAAAGGGTCTTAAATGTGCTTTTCCAAATTTAAGGCCTTAAAAATCCTTAAAAATGACAAATTATCCTTAAATCCAGTTTCCAAGTGTCTTAAATTGCCAAAGACCCAATAAACAACACACAAGATTCTTTTATGTCTATAAAAATGTTGTGAATTTCTAGTTAGTGTTCAGCATTTTTTGTGTACGATGTTGGCGTAAGCGGAACCGTACGCATTCAGTTGGTTGTGAAAGGGGCTATTTTTAGATGAGCACGTTAGCTGGTTAAGCTAGTGGGAGCTTGCGCCATGGGGAAGTGCAAGTTTAATGGTAACTAGATGGCTAATCCCACGTTCGCGACGTGGTTAGCACCGCTTCCAGGCAATAACTGGAAATTATAGCTTAAATTTGGTCAAAGTGGCCTTAAAAAAAGGTCTTAAAGTCTTAAATTTGGCCTCCTTAAACCTGCAGATACCCCGTTTCTTCCTTTGGAACCACCTTCAGTAACGCTGCAGCTCTGAAGCGCTTCTAACCCTGTCCGCTGACAGGAGTGCAGTGATGGCGCTGTCGGTCACAAACACATGCTAATGCAGGACACAAAGCTCCTGATTTCTGAGACCTTGTTCAGATAAAAACATAAAAAAAACCTGATGAATTAGTTTTAGTACAAACAAAGTTAAGTCATCTATTACCTTCCTGTTTCCTCCCTCCTCCAGTTCTGGGAGTGCACGTCTCTGTCGTCTCTTGACACCTCCGGGATGGGATCCAGCTCTGGTTCCGCCTCAGGCTCCAGCAGCGCCTCCTCCTCCTCCGTCTCCTCCTCCACGCCGCTGTCGGCCTCTCGCTCACACAAACGCTCGGTGTCGGCGGTGTCGAACTACTCCACGCTGTCGCTGCCGCTCTACAACCAGCAGGTGGACGACTGCTGCATCATCCGGGTGAGCCTGGATGTGGAGAACGGCAACATGTACAAGAGCATCCTGGTGAGAGCGCAGCAACCTTTCTGCCTTTTACGCTTCAGGAATGGCGTCTAATGAATACGTGACCTTTGGGTTAACTCAGGTGACGAGTCAGGACAAGACTCCCGCCGTCATCAGGAAGGCCATGATCAAACACAACCTGGAGCGGGAGAAAACCGAGGAATACGAGCTGATGCAGAAACTCTCAGAGGACAAAGGTGAAGGCAGAAAATGAATCCATGCATCGCGGGTTCTCCTGACGAGAATAAATAAGATGTAGCTACTGCTACCGGGCAGACCCCCACCTGCCATGTGGGGTCACTAACATTAGCTTAGCTTCACAACCAGACCAGCTCCTTCACTGCTGCTGGTGATCAGATGCGAGTCTGGGTTGCCATGGTGACGACACTATCTGTAACAGCAGCTTTTCTCGTGGATCTGACCAATAAAAGCCTCTTATTTAACCGCATTAATGCGTTTGTTCCGCAGAGCTCCGGATACCCGACAACGCCAACGTCTTCTACGCCATGAACTCCACTGCCAACTACGACTTTGTGCTGAAGAAGCGAGGCCCGGCGCGGCCGCCGCGGGCCAAGAACGTGGCCAGCTCCACGCTGCCTCGCATGAAGCAGAAGGGACTGAAAATCGCCAAGGGGATTTTCTGAGGGGGGCGGGATGCTCGCCACTTCCTGCCTCCTAACCGCCATTTCCCCCCTGGTGTGGTTGCTCCTCTTTGGGAGACGACCTGAAGTGTCCACGCTTTAGTTCGGACAGCGGCAGAAACGTTGGAGGACGAACCGACTGGTGTTTCTGTGGAGTCGCAGGAAGCAGAGGAGCACTTTAGCACTTAGCTGCTCAGCAGCTGTCTGCGTTTCCGAAACTCACCTGTGGGGAAAAGCAGCCTCTGTTCTCGGCACTACGGCAACCCTTTATGTCATTTATGGAAAATTATTAAGAGTTCCTGATCCATCACCTTTTGTTTACAGCAGTTTACAACCACGTTCACTTTTACACGCCGTGACTCTTCTGGCACTCCCCCAACCCTAACCACACACACACACACACACACACACCCCTAACGGACCGGTGGGCGGCGCAGACACTGCAGCTGTCAGAATGTGTTTCTGTGGTTCAGGAAGCTTCAGCTCCGAATGCGTCGGGATGCGCGTTGGCCCTGACGTGCTACAAAAAAACTGGAGACCTGTCAAAGCGCAGTGGGCGTGGCCAAGAGTCTGGCCCTGCTGTTTGTTATGTTACTAACACACGTTAACCACTACATCCTGGAGGGCGAGCATCGTCCTTGGACCGCGACTGAAAGCAGACGGAGTGTAAATATGTCTCGTAGGAGACTCCTGTTGTTGTTGATGTTTTGTTGTTTACTTCTCTGCTCTCACATGGTGCTGTCACTCATCTCTATGAAAAGGTTGCACCAACCGTGTTCTGCTCTTAAACACAAAGGCGCCATGTTGGGGGGTGTTGGGGCTCGGGGTAGACTCGTGTGGGGTCTTAACACAATCTCGGATTTAAGGAATCTTTTAGTCGCTTCATATTGTTTGTTTTTAACAATTCAGCAAAAGTAAATCCCAAAATATTTCAAAAGGCTAAAAAAATGTGAAAGTAAGATTCCAAACATTTGACTTGGAGGCACTCGTTTATTATTTATCAGCACGAGTCAGTTTGCAGAGGAAAACCAGGAATTCTGAGGTTCCCAGGTTTTTCCTGCAGCTGTGCTCTGTGGCATTCTGGTTTGGGCCGGTTTAGCTCTTCCAACATGGCGGCTGGTGATAAAATCCCTATGTGCCGTGAGCGGCCTGCAGACCGTTCTCCCGCTAAATCTCCTTCCTGTTTTTTTCTCTTTGGAGCTCGCTGTGAAAGCACTCATGAAGGATAATCCAGAATAATCTTGAGTTTAGGGCATGAAACGAGTTAATGCTGCGTGTTGAATCCCAGATGAACGACTGCGTTGCTGCCAAGCCGAACGTGAGGGAACTAATTTAGTTTCCTCTCTTTGGTGACACGATTCCGACGTTTCCTCCGTGTTTAATTCCCACATTCAGGCTGTTTTAGTTTCTGCGCCCGTTCTTGTTCAGAGTTCACTCAAAGCAGCTTGCAGGTAAAACATTCCACCTTAAATAAGTTCTTGGATATTTTCTGCTCCGCGGCTTTAATTTTCCTGTTACTGCAAAGCATTGTGGGAATTGTAGGAACTCAGTAGTCGGTCACCAAAAGCATTGGGATTTCCTTTTTCCTGCAGAAACGCCCAAGTTTTCCTGCTGTTTGGGACCAAGTCGTTTCCTGTTTTGTTTTTGTTTACGTCCGCTATCTCAACGATCAAACGATGGGAGACAAAATCCAACCTGTGGAAACACATTGATGAGCAGCAGGCGGCACATCGTCTGGCTGAAACCCTTTGCACTGTGACCTTTGACCCCTCTGCTCCGCCCTGTTGGCACGGCACGTCTAGCACTGTGAACCAAACTCACGCACACCTGCTGGTGTCATAGTGAACGTCCACCCAAAGGCTGGATCCTACATGTGCCAAACAGGAGCAGCTTTCATGTTCGGGATTAGAACACTAAAGGCGGCGGCGCTGGGGACGGCTTGATTTGTCCAGGAAACGCGTTTGTAGATGAAACCGATGCAGAAACTGAAGCTCGTTATTCTGGTTTTTGCTCAAACCAAACATGAACACATTCAAATGTTTAAGTCTCCTTTTTGGTTTTCTGTTTTGCTTCATATTTTAGGTCAGTTTAATAGATTAAAACTCAGATTATTACACGTCATCAGAATTCCTCATTCAGGTTTTACACTGGAACAAAATTAAAACCAAACCGGTGAAACTGAGCTAACGGCGGTAATCCACATTTAACTCAAAACACTGTCATTGTTTCTGCAGAGGTTTTCTATCTGCTCGCGTTCCTCAGAGTCCTGGAGGGATGTGTGTGTGTGTGTGTGTGTGTGTGTGTGTGTCGTGGCAGCCCGTGTTGAAATGAATTTTGTGACTGGACCTGATTTGTGAGTTTGAACAAGAAAAAAAAATCAGTTTTATAAGAACAAAGCAGCGCGGAGGCCTGTGGTGTGTCGTGTGTTTGCTGTTGCTCTGGTGCCATTTTCCATTCGAACAGAAGAATTGCAAACATTCTTCAAACAGCAGTTTGTTTTTTTCATGTTTTTCCCCCAAACACAAAACCTGTGTAGTAAACCAACAGTTCTTGGTTGTTTCTTTGTTTTATTTATTGATTTGTATATAAAGATTTTGTTTTTCATTGTACATTCTCCTTTTCTTTGTTATAGATTAATATATTCATGTATATATGAATAAACATTAAGTTTGTAAAATTAAAATCATGTCTTTGCCCCTTAGTTGATCTTTAAGGTTTAGAAATGTATTTCATGACCAGACTGTTGGGAGTCTCCTCTTGTCCCTGATCCAGCGTACCACATGGTGATAGAAGAGGTGAGGATGACTCTGGACCTTTTTATCATGGAGGTGATGGTGGGCTCCCACTTGGGTGATGGTGGTGATCAGGAATTCACCATCGTGATGGGAGTGTGTGACAGGGTTATGGGGGCAGGGGAGCTGTGTGCTTTCTAAAGTCCACAACAACCTCCGTTGCCTTCTGGGTGCTTAGCACCAGGTTGTTGTGGCTGCACCAGGACACCAGCCGTTCCACCTCTATTCTGTAGGCACTCATCCCCGTCAGAGTTGAAAGAGAAAAGGATAATGCATGCTAGACATACCAGCAGAGGATGTGAAACCAGTTGGGATTGCATCAAATACAATGGCAAGTTCTCTAGGGGTAGCTGGGGTGTTACAGTCAGAAAGTCATATCTAAACGTGTCATTCCCCGTGTCATTGGGGCAGCAGTAGCTCAGGTGGTAGAGCGGGTTGCCTCATGATTGGAGGGTCATGGGTTCGATTCCAGCTCCAGCCAGGGGTATCCTCCTGTTGTGTCCTTGGGCAAGACACTTCACCCAACTTGCTTGTGGGTGACGGCGCCAAATGGCAGCCTCGCCTCTGTCAGACCTCCCCAGGGTGGCTGTGGCTACAAGTAGCTTACCATCACTAGCAGTGTGTGAATGTGAGAGTGTGTGAAAGCTTCTTTGGGGGTCTTGAAAAGCGCTATATAAGTTCAATGCATTATTATTATTCATTCAGTCATTCATTCATTTATAGAGCGCCTTCCTGCTGCCAACCAAGGCAGCCCAAAGCACTGAACTCAGCAGTGTAAAATTAACAAGCATTAAAATAATAAAGAATACATCACAAGGAGTAATAAGTACTATACATGAATTCATGTTATGTACCAAAACAGTAAAATCATAGATAAAATCTTCATTTAGCTAAAAACTACATGCAAACAAAGACTAAAAACCAGACACAGTTAAACAGATCAGAGGCCTAACGGGTGATGTGAGTCTGCAGTGCATCTTCAATTTAGCTTTAGAAGCATCAAGTGTAGTTGAGAGTCTTAATTCCAGTGGAAGGCCGTTCCACAACTTTGGGGCCAAAGCACTAAAAGCTCGATCTCCGCGACTCTTACGTTTAGATCGTGTCCATGCTTGTTAAAAAATATCTTTACTTTTATTAATGATTTTAATTTACTTTAATAGCTAGATCATGATCCACTTAATTTCTTAAAAGCAGTGATTTATTATGATTGAAACAAATATTCTGGTTATTCCAAATGAAACTGCTACGACGGGAAAGGTGATGAACCAGCGTGCAGCTCCACACGTTTGCTGGAAGTTTTTGCACCTTAACCAGAACTTCAGCTGATTGACAGAGCGCGTAAAGCTTAACGTCATTTGTCTGCGACTGGAGAACGTCGACGAGTTCGTCCTTCGCGCGTGCGCAGTAGCCCGGAGCTTTGTTGTGTCCTCTCGCTATGGCGCTGAGCAAAACGTTTGGACAAAAACCGGTGAAATTTCAGCTCGAGGAGGATGGGGACTTTTACATGATCGGTTCAGAGGTCAGTATGTGTGCGTTTAACGCCTTGCTACATGTAAGACTATTTTATTGTGGGCAGAACTTTCAGGTTAAGCCTGACAGCTGGTGCGTTAGCCGCTAGCTCTTAGCTTAGCGGTAATCGCAAAGATGCAGATCGTGTTCATTCATTTTTAATCCGAGGACAGAGCGAAGATAAAACTTACCGAGCAGCACAACGAGATCAGAAAAGTACGTTTTTCTTTTTAAAAAATTACTCTGAAGGCTCATTGGTTTGTTGTTTGAGTAAGCTAACCGTTAGCACAAACGCTATCTTGACTTCTCACAACCAGGGTGCTAGCTTTAGGTTAATTTCAGATTTTAGGAATGTTTCGGTTTTATTTCATTAGACCAGCACAGATTCCTGTTGGTTCTGATACGTCACTTGTGTTTCCTTTTAGAACCACGTTCTGTTCTCTTGCTTTATCTCTTAACTGAGACGCTACCAGCTGCAACTCCTTAAAACTCTTACAAATATGTGTCTTTTATTCATCTGGTCGTTGTCATGTGCTTTGTTTACTTTTGGTAAATCGCTTATCTGGAATAGTCATGTCTTTTCTTTTGTGTTTAGGTTGGAAACTACCTTCGTATGTTTAGAGGCTCCTTGTATAAACGCTACCCATCGTTATGGAGAAAACTGGCAACAGTGGAAGAGCGAAAGAAAATAGTGGAGTCGTCACACGGTCAGTAGAGCACAGCCCTGACTCCCAAACGGAATCTGTTTCCTATCAGATTGGGTTTCTGTTCTTGTCGTTTAGATCACGGCTACACTCAGCTGGCCACCAGCGTGACGCTGCTGAAGGCCTCAGAGGTCGAAGAGATTCTGGATGGAAATGATGAAAAGTACAAAGCTGTGTCGATCAGCACTGAGCCCCCCGCCTACCTCAGGTACAAGTGGCTAATTAAACACTTTACCTGAGAAGGAAACAAGCCATAAATATTATGACTTTGGGATGAAAATAGTTTTAATCAAAGAGTCGTAGCAGCATTTAGCCTTACTGGGATGATTCGTAGCTTCTCTTTTGTGCATTCATACTGTGTTTTTGTCCGTCTGTGGTAGCTTCTGTCTACAGTTTAAATCTGAAATGTTGGACAATGTGACAGTGATTAAGTCACCTGATGGGGTTTTTATTGCTGGTTTGTTGCCATCAGGGAACAGAAAGCCAAGAGGAATAGTCAGTGGGTTCCAACGCTACCTAACAGTTCCCACCACCTGGATGCAGTCCCCTGCTCCACCACCATCAACCGCAGCCGGCTGGGCCGGGAAAAGAAGAGGACCTTCCCTCTGTGGTGAGCTTCAGACCGCGTGTGTGAACTTTACTTTGAAGTCGGGTTTTTTGTTTGTTTGTGTTTACAAAGATATGCATTGTCTTAAGTCACAAAGCTTAAAGGTAATGTGGAGGATGTTTCTGAATAGCATGAGAGAGAAGGCCCAGTTTTCCACACTCCGTTTACCAGCAGCTGCCTGCCTTGCAACACTTCTTCTGGCTGTAGACTGAAATGGATTTCACATGAAAACTACTCGGCAACAAGCACGTATGACAGATGCCTTACGTGAAAGCTTCGCCAGAATGATTGACAGTTTTACGGACCGATGGTTCCGATGATCCACCTGGAAGAAAAAGAAGAGGCGGTATTGGTGCACCATTTCTCAGTTATTCCTGTCACAGCCGAGCTACTGACGGCAGGTTTCGAGTCTTACTTCCTGATATGTGGACATCTCTCCTCTGATTGGCTAACAGCAACACGACTCTACCACTGACTGTCTGCTCAGCAATGTTGATGTTTCATCTCCACAAATAGCAAAAGCCTGGAGGAGTTCTGCTGTGTGGTAGACTTGCTAATGCTAACGGTTAGCTTCTACTAGCAGAGATGTTCTCTGCTGTTTCCTGGATGCTAAACCAACAACAGCATTCCCCGTCGTGAGTCCATGAATGTCAGTCACAGTGTGACGTAGATTTGTCAGGATTTTCTAATCCTAGAGTTTCACCGTCTGTTTTCTACCAGAAGCTACTGCAGCAGATAGGTGTAGGAGACTATCTTCATGTTCAGCCTGCAGTAAACACTCAGAGTGACCCGTTAGATTCAGAGATAAGAATTAAAACATGGTTTTCCTCACCTGTAATGTTTATATCTGTCAATACTTTATCCTGCCCAGCTTTGATGACCACGATCCAGCTGTGATCCATGAAAATGCCACCCAGCCCGAAGTCCTTGTCCCGATCCGCCTGGACATGGAGATCGAGGGTCAGAAGCTCCGAGATGCTTTCACTTGGAACATGAACGGTAGTTCCTTTCGTCTCTCTCAGCAGGTGGAAACAACGTGAAACCAGTTATAGAGAATTTGTGTATTTTCTGCTTGTTCATGTTCAGAGAAACTCATGACGCCAGAGATGTTTGCGGAGATCTTGTGTGACGACCTGGACCTGAACCCACTGGCGTTCGTTCCTGCCATCGCCTCGGCCATCCGACAGCAGATCGAGTCATACCCGACAGACAGCATCCTGGAGGACCAAACGGACCAGAGGGTGATCATCAAGGTGAGGCCCCACCCCCGCCGCGGTGTGTGTAGTGCTCTACAGACGTCTGAGTTGTTTCTTGCTCCAGCTGAACATCCACGTGGGGAACATCTCTCTGGTGGACCAGTTTGAGTGGGACATGTCGGAGAGGGAAAACTCGCCGGAGAAGTTTGCTCTGAAGCTGTGCTCGGAGCTCGGCCTGGGCGGAGAATTTGTCACCACCATCGCCTACAGCATCCGAGGTCAGCTGAGCTGGCACCAGAGGACCTACGCCTTCAGGTAGCAAATCCCCGCCGCGGATCACGTTCGGTAGTTATGATCAGAAATAGATGAGCAGCTTTCTTCTGATTGGCAGGATTTTATTTATGAATTCCTTTTTTAGATTCCAACACGAAGCAGCTGCTTTGTTTGATGGAGTCTTTAAATGTTCTTTCAGAATTCCATGAAAACAAAAATAGTGGAGATCTTTGTTGTTCCCTGCAGCCTGGAGCTGGAAATGCTGGAATCCACCTTCATTTAAATGCTTTTGAAAGAGTTTTAATAACTAAATGAAATCATGTAAACACGAAGACTCGATACAAAAGATGGTTTTGAGCTCATGTTTGTGTGAATCAGCACTCCGGACGCTGCTGGAAAACTCAACATGGAAGCATGAATTTCATTTAGACAAAAAAATATCTCTGTTTTGATCAGATTCATTTTTAATATTTAACCCTTTACTTAAGCTGCTATGTTGCTTTATTTAAAGGGGCATTACGGAAGTTTGACGGCCAAAACATGTATAGAAATAATAAATGTCTTCTTCATACATTCTCCTGCAATGCCCTGGTCCTGTAGAATGAGCCCTGGCATTTTTACTGTGATTGCCTGTTTTTCTGTAAAATCACAGAAAAAGAGAGATGCTCGGGTCGAGCAGGCTGCTTCATGCGCGTTCACGCTCAGGCATAGCCCGTAGCATTTGCTATCCGTAGCTTTAGCAGCAGAGAGAGAGGCAGTGCCACTTTGTCGCTGTTCCTAACGCCTAGTGACAAAGCTAGCTACATTTCTGAGGACCCTTAGCTACTTTCTGTAGAACTTTCTTCTAGATATTTCCTGCAAATTAGCAGCAAAATAGTCATTTTCGCTCCAAACCGTTCTTTGAACATTGTTTCAGCTGTCATCAAGGATATAAATGTTACAGATACAAAAGACGTCACTGGCGCTTTAGCTCACCTAGTAAGACGTTGGACTCTCGTGCAGAAGACCCGGGTTTGATTCTGGGTGTGAACATAGTTTATTTAGAGTTTCTTTTTTACATTAACGGTATATTTTTTTACAGTAAGATGCCCACATTTTTATTTGAGACTCGCCGAACGGCATTGAATTCACAGATAAAAAAGATGTGGGTTCAACTTTCATTTTGGAACAATTTTTCAAGCAAGGGAAGGGAATGATCTGAGCATGCAGGAGGACTGACCCATCATAAACCTTTGTCGGCTGTGCTGAAGAGAAAGGTACAGAACCACATTATTTAATTAATTAGCTGTGCGTTCTCCTGTCCTCTGTCCTCTGGGCCACACACACACACACACACACACACACACACACACACACACACACACACACACACACACACACACACACACACACACACACACACACACACACACACACACACACACACACACACACAAGGGACTGTCTCAGCTGTTATTTTCGTTAAGGTGTGTGCACGTCCAGCATGCGCGCCTCGTGCATGAGCCTACTATTGAAGCTGCCGTTACGCTTTTGGCCTGAGGGGGCAATCGCGAGCATAAAAATTCAAAACTCCGTAAAGTCCCTTTAAGGTGGAATAACTGAAAGGACATTTTTATTTAAAAAAATCCACCTTTAGGTTGTAAGAACACCTTTTTTTAGATCATATCTTGATCAATACAGCAATATTTGTTGTCAGCGAGGCTGATCTTTGGCACAGACGACAGTTCTGATGTGACGACGAGTCTCGGTGCACGTTAGGGTTCAGGTGTCTGAATGTGAAAGTGTTGGTTTGAGACTGATCGTGCCGTGGCGTGTTTGGTGTTGTGCAGTGAGAACCCGCTGCCCACTGTGGAGATTGCCATCAGAAACACAGGTGATGCTGACCAGTGGTGTCCTCTGCTGGAGACCCTGACAGACGCAGAGATGGAGAAGAAGATCAGAGACCAGGACAGAAACACCAGGTAAGCTGTTGGCTGGCTGCCAGAATCATAAATGGCTTTTAAAGGTGCGATGTGCAAAAATGGTCAAATGTGCTAGCCTGGCCTGCCAGACTCGTCCTCTGTTTCATCCTGCACAGAGAAAGAGTCTGGTAACTCACAGGCAGAGGCACATGAGGGGCGGGACTAGGCGGCTCAAAAATAACCAATCAGAAGAAAGAAGGAAATGCCGGCTGTACCGCACAACCCTAGTTTTCTAGTTGTAAAATTTAACCTCATGGTTATTGTGACCAAAATTATCACGGTTTTCGGTATTATCACGGTATATTTTTTAAATGTGTTACATTTTCAGACAACTAAATAAACCCTATATCAGGAAAATATCGTCCTCGGTTTGTGTCCTTCCAGTGAGCTTTGCAGATGTGGGAAAATGTCATCAGGCAGTAATCATTGTTAAATTCATAATTATTCTCGGAGAGAGACCAACTCTTATCTGCCCCTGGGAGCCCCGTAATGCATAGCGTCATTTCAACATGGGGGTGTCCGCGACACGGTTTATGTGCAGGTAGCGGCGCTGCGGCTGCTTTATATAGCGACTCGTTGCATTCTCCCTCAACCCAAATCCTCGGATCACGCATTTTAGCTAAAACGCTAACGTTAGCTTGCCTTGCGTCGACTGTAGAGTTGTGGGTGATGGTCACGCAGATGTGTCATGAGATTTGAAGCGTTGCTGCCTTTCACAGACACTTTTTCTGCACGTGCTGCAAACAGGATAGCCGTCTTCTATCAGCTGTCCCTCGGCATTCTTCAAATATACAAAATATGCCCGTACTTCTCACTTTGTCTTCTTTGAGGGATAATAAATGACCTGAGCGCTGCCGTCTCCTCCTTTGGCCATTATTTCAGCTTTAGCTTCAAGAAAGTTTTGGTTGTAAACAACAAAGTGCGCATGTGCCGCCGGCAACTTGAGCAGATGATACGGTGGCTGGTAAGGGTCACCGCGCCTACACCGCAGCCACGGTAATCCACCGAGATACTATAGTTTTTAAAAACAAGACGGTTATTATTATTGTCAACTTTTTTTACCAGGGTTTACCGCTGCAGCGGTTACCGTGACAACCCTAGTGTGTTTACATGAACATCAGAAAACCAAAATATTGCCTTAAATAGACTAACTCCCCTTTTAGAATGCATGTGCAGCGTTTCCCCCAGCGCTCTATAAGGCTAGCAAGTCGCCAGGCCGTGCTTGGTCTCTCTCCCCCCCCTCCCCCGCAGTCACAGATTACACATGGTAGCTCGCCCGCAGTCGTGGAAGACCGACGGTAACAGAACGAGCCGTGTACCCCTCTTCCAATGTCACGGTTGACTGACGCTAGCGGAACGATCTGTACTGAGCATGAAGCTGCTTCAGCGTAAACTTCCTTCCTACATGATTCAGAAATTTGACTGAAATGTTTACATATTGCTCCTTTAACTGTATTTAACTGCATTGGATTTGTTACAAATATGGAATAATTTTCAGTCGTTTGCTTATTAATTAGTTCATATTTATGTAATTTTTTATCTTGCCTGTTTAGTAAACTGGGTTTTGGTTAAAACAGTGCTGTTTTTTCAAAATAAAAGCAGCTGATGATGCTCCTCTTGTTTGTCCCTAGGCGAATGAGGCGTCTGGCGAACACGGCACCAGCGTGGTAGCTGGCCTGGCATCGGCGCCACCTACAGGATTGTTGCTTGTGCTGTTGGAGGTCATGGTTCTCCTCAGCAGCAGAGTTTCGTCCTTCATCTCCTCTGCTCTGCTGGGATCTCGGTCTACTCCTCACGCTTTTATTTTGCGGTTAATTTTAAAATTTAGTTTGTTGGGGACCGTTAGAAAAAACCCTCCGTGTCTCCCACGTGACCCTCAGAGAAGCTGCTCCCTTTGACCACTGACTCTACCCGACCAGACGGGGAAACACGCAACAGGCTCAAATAATATATTGTTTTGTTGTATTTGTTGTCTTTTTGTACATTTTAATAATTCTTACAAAATAAAAAATACAAACGTTTATGTTTGAACCTGTTTGACCTCTGCAGCTGCATGCTCCATCGGCTATAATAGTTGTTTAAAAACATGTTTATGAGGTTCTTTGCACTAAATCACACTCACAGCCAGCCAGCTGAATAAGGCTGGTGTCATCTGGATAATAGTGAAACTAAAACGGCCTAACGTCATTATTTTTACATTGGTAAATCATTTTACATATAGTTTTGCATATTTTTGGTTGTATATGTACTCTACGCAACAGGAAATCTGAGGAGCCGAAAGAGCCGGCTCTTTTTGGTGAGCTGAGCCAAAAGAACCGGCTCTCTAAAAAGAGCCAGAATTCCCATCACTGCTGATCAGGACCAAGCCCCCACAAAAAAAAATTGAGGCCAACGCGGAAGTGACAAAAATTGCAGTTCCACCCTCATCCACTAGGGGCTGGTGTCAGAAGTGAGCAAATCCTCATTGACTCCCATGTTAAAAATACTAATTTCACAGCAGAAATAAACATGTTTACAGCCTGGTACCAAAACATGTTTTTGGTTTAAATGATCTAGTTTACACTCATGACAACTCTGAGGGGGGTGAATTTTTTCTCTCACTCTACTGTTTAAGTGTATTAAAAGCCTAAAATTCTGTATAATTAATGAGCATCAGACCCACGTGACCACAGAGCTAGCTCCGTGGAAAGGCCTCAGTAGAGCCTTGGCCTGGCTTGGAAACTGTTCCCGGATTTTGAGTCTCTGTGTTTGTGTATTCTTTTTTGGATATTATTTGTGCAATTGTTGGACAAAATGACTTGCTGTGGCATTAATTGCACTAATAGAGCGTCCAAGGAGTCTCCACTTCATTGTTTTCGGTAAGTACAATTATATTTATGTATTTTAGGTCACTGCCGAGCTGAGCTTAGATTTTAACATGTACTGTTTAACCATGAAATTTAAATGTAATAGGGTAAAACCCAGTGCATTTAACATAATGCTGCACTTTAGAAAATGGGTTGAAATATAACATGTTGGTGGAGCTGGGTTCCCACTATCGGCTTGTGGAGCTCTCAGGAGACCGATATTTTCCACCCGTTTCTCCCGTCCCCGCAGCTCGGCGCATCTCTGTCTGATCGCGGCTTCTGTCTGCTGCGCGGGCTTTCAGCTTGTGGAGCTCTCGGGAGACCTCTGTGTTCCACCCGGTTTTACCCAGCGGTCAGCCCGGCGTATCTCTGACTCAGAAGCTCTGGTGTTGTGCACAGTTAACTCCGGTTGTAGCTAGGTTGCTACCTCCGTTAGCTTAGCTCCCACCTCCGCGTTAGCTTTGGGTTAGCTTCAGGTTAGCTTGTAGCTAGTTTGACCGGGTGTCGTCAGTACCATACAGCCTTACAGCCCCACCCTCAGCTCCACCTCTCTTCTCTTTTGTGGAATTGTCTGGGCTTGACAGAACCTGTGACACGGTTAAAATGGCGGTGGTGGCCACCTCCCATTTTTCTTCAAAAACGTGTTATTGTAGGCTATGGAAACCCATTGTCCAATATATATACGTCGATGATCAGGACCTCTGAGTCAACACAACAGGCCCCGCCCCGCCACTTCATACCAACAACAAATCAAATCCTGTCACCATTAACACCTTCCACTCCTCACAGGGAGAGAAGCAGAGCTTTTACGTCACATATTCAATTAAATTAGAGAAAATATTAATTAAATTTGCTTTTACATTTTTTTCATCCAGAAAAAGATTTTAGGTCATGTTGATGAAAATGCATAAAATAAAAATAACTCCAGCTTTAAAAGTTTTAAACATCTGAGCTGTTTTTCACATTTTAATCTCTGATGTGTAAAATAGTTTCTCATGATCAAATGTGTCTGACTTTACGTCCAACAACAGACATTTGAGCAGATTTTTCTGGAAACTTTTCCGTTTTTCAGTCTAAGTTCACATTTAATATTGCCTGATTTATACATTTAAACTAGATTTGAGTTTAAACGTATTCTCTGTAGTTTTTATTAGATATAAATCAACTTTAACTCCTCAGGAAACGGTTTGAAAAAAGACAAAATATTTATTGAACGTAATTTAAAAACAAGCTAAAAGGCACAGTGCATACATTTATACAGGTTACAGGGTTACATGTGAAAGTCAGACATGTATGTACAACAATCTGCTGTTGGTGTATAAATAAGGTGTTGGGAGCAGAAAAGACTCATCAGCGTCCCGCACTGAAACAAAAACCTGTGATGATCCCAGCGGAGCCTTCAGAGCTGGAGCAGGGGTTCTCCACCCGGACCCGCTCACCGGGCGTAACATAACAGCATTCAGGCTCCTGCTGATAGTCAGACTCATGAAACAGGGTTTGTGTCTAGGCAGCCAGAATCCTTAAGTTTTGTTCCATATTCTGAAGTTTTTTTATGGACATCGCTCCAACATGGTGGTTCCCAAAGAAAGTTTCCTCAAACCTGCAGATTCCAAGTTAAATCTGGCTCTTTGGACTTTTAATGAATGTGAATACATTTGTGGCACAGAGCTGCTGATCCCCACCATTGCTGCTGTCCCTGAACGTCTCACTGTTTAAAAAAGCACCATGATGAAGAGGAGTAACTTCATCAGAAGGCTGCAGGGTGACATCGCTCTCCAGGTGGCGCCCTGCAGCTTCTCCAGCATGTGAGAAGAGTGACATCACAACATGCCAGCAGATACTCGAACCCACAGATGGTTAAATGAGAAGTGTGTGTGTGTGTGTGTGTGTGTGTGTGTAAATGCGTATGCACACGTGTGTGTGTGTGTGTGTGTGTAAACACACATGTATCACCTGATTATAATTCCTGTGTCCACACGAGGACTGAATTAAACTTTTAGGACACGTTAAAAATGCTGTTTTTACGCAACACCTGAGTTAGCCTGTTACCTCTGAACCAGTCAAGATGATCACACATAAATAATAAACATATTCAAAAGTGAATAAAGGTCCCACGCCCGTTATCAGCCCTCGGCATCAAACTCCTGGCATTCCGGGTTTCTAGGTAAATCCTATTTGCTTATTAAATGAATCGGGTGAATGAATCCAGGATGTGTCCATCGGACAGAATTCCGAATGAGATGGAACGTCCAACGCAGTGCTGGGAATTGCTAATGACACGCGCTCATTAGCATCTACAGCAAAATCAGTGTGTGTTGCCCCAACCACCTAGCATGAAGGTTTCTGCGTGAGGAGCAGCAGCAGGACCCGGGTTAGCTAACCTGCTGCTGCGGTTTGACTTTTCCTCACATGACAACAAGAAGAACTCAGAGGGAACTCTGCGGCGGAGCAATTAGTGTTGACTACAAAATAAAACGGAGCAAAACCAAATCCATCTGTTGGGTCACATGACTGCTCATCTTTATAGCGTCTCTACTATTTTACTCCTTTTGTCTCGTAAAGGGTTAATATTTATTCAGCTTTTGGGGTGTAGAGATGCATCTGTAAGTTTGAGACTTTTATTGTGAAGGACTAAAGGAAGTTCTGTTATAGATGCTGCTGCTGCTAGAGCTGCTAAAGGACTACATCAATCGGTGTGTGTGTGTGCACATATTTAAATATAAACACATTTTTTGCAGCATCATCAAAAACTATTAGAAAGCTGTGATGTTTGTGATCAGACTTGTTAATCCGGCTGAGTTAGGATTAGTTCCTAAAAATCCTGGAGCGATTAGAAGCTGACATGATTGTGTGATTTGTGCAGCTGCAGCATGTTTTCACGTTACACTAGTCACTCAAGGTTTTTTGTTGACGAGAACAAAACATCTAACACTGACCACGGGGTGGGGGAGGGGTCCAGATATGTGCAAAAATAAATAGTAGTGGAGACGCACACGGAGATGCTGAACCTGAGGGAAGGTCATGTGGTTTCCCGAGAAGACGAGAACATGCAGTGAAGCTGATTTAGCAGGAGAACGTCTCGTCGTCGTGCACCTTCAGTCTTTAGTCCAGAACTTCTCCTCTTCGTTTTAATAACAAGAAATCAGTTCTCCACAGAATCACTCGTGTTCACAGCCAAAAAAATCCACCCCGACGTAGCGTGGGTAGCCTTCCAACGAGTTCATCCCAACCGGGTCGAATTTCCAGTACTGGCGTCCTCGGATAAAGTGGGCGTAGCCTGCAGAGGGGGACAAAATCAACCGTTTTAATGAACAAAAATGTTTCCTCCCATCACTTTAGTCCCAGGCTCTTATTCTGAAGGGAAGATTAGGTTTATAAGATGAGGTAAAAGTCTTTAGCTCTAGATGTAGAAATGTAATGCAGCAACAATAAACTGGAGCGCCCCCTGGTGGCTGGTTTCTGTGTGGGTTCCCTCATACCATGGATGTCCCTGAAGGCAGCGTCCACGTCGTTGGGGATGCCGCTCCAGTCCTGCATCCTGCGCGGGTGGGTGGACTCGACCCGGTTCTGGCGGGGGTCGAACCTCCAGTAACTACCCGACTTGAAGAAGTAGGTGTTGTAGTTGGAGTCGTGACCCCAGCGAAGTGCAGCCTGGATCCTGGATATGGACAGACCCCATGTCCTGATGGACTCAGGCCCTCTGACGTGCTTCTCGGCATCAAACACCCAGAAGTTCTGACCTGGGTGTGCATTGGACATCATTTAAATTGTAATTATAATAAATATAATCATAGAATGTCTGTTGCAGCGATGGTTGTAGCTCAGTCCTGATTAAACACATCTGGTTAATTCAGAAGAACCTGCAAGTTTCCCTCAGCCTGGAACAGAGCAGTTGTTCTGCCAGTGTTTAAAGTGGGTAACCGGGACTCTTGTCTGAGATTACCGGCCAATATCATTCCTACCCATACGACCGAAAGTGGTTGAGAATGCAGCAGCAACTAGTTTGGATTTAGGTCAACTTATTCAACCGAAATTACAAACCGCTGCTTTGTGGAAAATGTAAAAGGTCCTTGGACGGGGTCAGGTGTCGTGTTCTCGGACCTCAAAAAGGCTTTTGAAGTTGTTAGTCTGCTTTTAACCAAATGTCTCAGTTTAACATCTCCGTGGATTGGTTTGCATCTTTCCTCGGGGAAAAAGGAGCAGTGTGTGTGAAAGTGGACCGGAATAAATCCTCATTATAAACCCTCCAAAGGGGCGTTCCACAGGGATCAAAGCTGGGGCCTTGCTGTTTGCCCTCTTACCCTTAAAATGCCCTGGGGTCAGGTGTCTGCGTTTCGCTGATGATGCAGGTTTTTATGCACCTGCCAGGTCACCAGTGGTTTTACCTGCCTGTGAGGCTGAGCCGAGTGAACTGCTCAAGCAAAATCCTCTTCTGCTCAGTTTAGCCAAAATAGCGCTCACGTTTTTCGATGAGAAAACAGAACGTGGAGCAACGTTTTCAAATAAAGTAAAAAAAAAAATCAGCAACTGAATTTAAATATCTGGGATTGGTTCTGGATCTTCAACTTAAATTTGACAATCGCATAAAAAGCGACGGTGCATTTACATTTCTAATGCTGGTTTTCAGATGTAAGAACAACCTGCCTTTTAAAACTAAGGATTACTTTTATAATTCTACTGTTTTTAACAATGCGCAGGATTGTTCAGCGGGTTTATTTAGTGTAGGACAGCTTCTACTTTAAACTGTTTCATGTTGTTTTACTGTTTGGTGCCGTCCGGCGGGGGTGTTCGCCCCTGGGTCCCGGGTCATTGGGTCCCAGGCTCGGCCGGCTGGGGGGTGGGAGGCTGCGGGCGGGCCTGTGGGCTTGCCGCTGTTATCCCCCTGGACTCTGCCGGCTGCTGGTTGTGGCCCCCTGGGGCGATCCTCTGTGCCTCTCGAGGGGGGCGGGGGCTTTTCTGGTTACAGTCTGCACTCTGGGGCAGCTCCTGGATCTCTGGGACTTGGAGCTCCTTCCATCTCCTATGCATCTTTGGGGGGCAGATCTGTGGCCCCCCACACTCTCTATTGGGCGCTCCTATAGAGAAACCTTACATATACAAGCGCGTGTAAACACACAGGTGCTCACATGGTGCTCTCATAAGTATGGACTTGGGCATTTTCGACACTCATCTTAAGGCTGTGGTTGGCACTAAATGCACTGTGATTTACTATCGTGTGATCGAAAAAATAAAAATAATGTTTGGTGCTGTAGAGGACAACTGTTTTTCTATATTGTGTAGAAAAACCCAACCAGGGACAGGAGCTAGAAGTTATCGCTAGCTACATGCTGGACAGCATCGTCCTTGTCAAAGGTGAAATCAGATCTTCATTTTAGTCTCATTTATTCTGATAAGTAACTAAATGATTGTTCAAACCGGAACAGGCCGTAAAAACATTTTAAAATCCCAAACTTTAGCTAATTTAACTTTTCAGATTGATCTAAACTTGCCTTTTTCCCCTTCATCAGATCTGCTCTCACATAAAACCACACAAGCTGCATCTGAATATCTGGGTTACACACCTTTAAAGAACCAAATGTTTCCCGACTTGTCTTCAAAGGCGGCATCGATCTTCTCGGGAATGCCCTTCCAGTGGCGGGAGGCCAGGGCCGGGTACCCGCTCTCCAGATGCTTAGATCCTGCAGGGTCCCTGATCCTCCACACGTACCCCGCCTTAAAGAAGAACAGCTCCCCCCGGATCATAGAGGCCGCATCAAAGCCGGTCTCACAGACGTCGGGCTGTAAAAAGAAAAGCAGCACGTCAAGTTTAAACACGGGTGAACCCGTTTGGAGTCGGGGTTAACACCTTTAGAAGGTCCCGCTGGGTGTACCTACTGAATTCCTCATCGTGCTTTAGATGTTTCCCTTCTCCAACACACCTGAATCCCGTTCATCAGCCACTGATTCAGCCCAAGGCCCTCATTTATCAAACGTTTGTAGAAACTGTCCCATATTCCATCGTACCAACGGTCAAAATCCTGATTTAGGAAACGCGCGGTGGCCCCTCGCACGCACGTTCCTCGTCTGACGATGAACCCCAGCTGTGCGTAGGTGCTCGTGTCTGTGCAGAAACGCCGTCTTTCCTCCTGACAAACATCAACCCTCCTGCGATGAAGAGATCTAGGCTCAGACTGTTGAAGCTGAGGATCTCTCAGCTCGGGGGAACCAGTGAAGGACGGGGTCCTGCCTGGGAGAAAGTGGCAGAGGTGGTGGACGGTCGGGACGGAGAGGGCCGTGTCAGACATGAAGAAGGAATGGTTCAACGTGAATCCGGAAGAAGCCGGGCCGAGTGTTCCAGTCTGTTACGTTACACATTACATTTAAGAAGTTGTACGCATGTTCTGTTTGGAGAATTGACGTGGTGCGGTCTCTTCTGTCGGCTTCAGAGCTGTCAGTTTGGTTACCTTGGCAACGCTTGCATGTTGGGGAGTAGGGTGAGAGGAGGTTCTCGCAGAGGAACTCACAGGTTGAGCTGAGCTGTTGTTTTTGTTGAAGCTGACGATAAATCAGGATTCTTTAGAAAGCGATTTGTTTATATTTCCATGGATAAGTTTGTTAATCCTGCCTCAAGTGGAGGAGTTTAAGTATCTCGGGGTCTTGTTCACGAGTGAGGGTAGGAGGGATCGGGAGATCGACAGGCGGATTGCTTCAGCGTCTGCAGTGATGCGGACGCTGAGCCGATCTGTCGTGGTGAAGAGGGAGCTGAGCCCGAAAGCCAGGCTCTCGATTTACCGGTCGATCTACGTCCCAATCCTCACCTATGGTCATGAGCTTTGGGTAATGACCGAAAGAACGAGATCGCGGATACAAGCGGCCGAAATGAGTTTCCTCCGTAGGGTGGCCGGGCTCAGCCTTAGAGATAGGGTGAGGAGCTCGGACATTCGGGAGGGGCTCAGAGTAGAACCGCTGCTCCTCCGGATCGAAAGGAGTCAGTTGAGGTGGTTTGGGCATCTGGTCAGGATGCCTCCTGGACGCCTCCCTGGGGAGGTGTTTCGGGCATGTCCTGCCGGCAGGAGACCCCCGGGTCGACCCAGGACACGTTGGAGAGGTTACATCTCCAATCTGGTCCGGGAACACCTTGGGGTCCTGCCGGAGGAGCTGTTGGAGAAGGCCGGGGAGAGGACGGTCTGGAGCTCCCTAGTTGGGATGCTGCCCCCGCGACCCGGACCCGGATAAGTGAAGGAAAACGAGACGAGAAGTTTGTTAATTCAAGCAGAGGCGTTGACTTTTAAAACGTTAGAGCTAACTCAAAACCCCATTCCCATCAGAGCATCGTCTCACACTTGGACGTTCTCGGCATCTCGCTGTTGACGGCGTGTGTGAGCGGACAGCGAGCTGAAGAGGAGAGCGTGCGTAACCCTAACATAAAACTTTGGCTAAAATAGTGTTTATTGTTGCGTCTCCAGTGTGGAGGCGGAGCGAGGACTCGGCCTCAGGAGTCTGTCCGAGGCAGAAGTCCAGAACCTCAGGACTGTAGCGTCTTCTGCAAGCTCCAGAGCCGTTTGATAACGCACAAGCAGGTGAGCAGTTCAGGTTTAGCGGGAACAGAAGGAAGGTGTGTTCATTAAAATGAAGGAAAATGTAGCTGTATTACTGGATGTTTATTTTGATTTAAAAAGCTAAAGTGACGGGATAAATGGATCATTCCATTTCCTACTCAGACTCAAGAGAAAGACAGTTTATTTAAATAAAATACCACAATGGTGGGCACTGCAGTGGAACGACGACGAGGCTTTAACACCCGAACCGTGTTTAATACGTGTTTAAAAATTCGCTTCCGGCGAACACGAGCACTGTGCTTCCGTTAAAAACCCATGATGCATGCATGACTACACTGCCCAACAAGTCACAAGCGTGAATATTTCATCCACGGTCATTTATTGGGCTGATGGGAGGTTTGAAAATTTACATCGCCCATCATTCTGTTATGATGTCTGATCTGTCGGCTATCCCACGTTCTCCAGGTCCTTCCTGGTGGCAAGAAGTCCCGAAGATGTCAGTGACTGAATCTGAACTGGAGCCTGATTGGTGCGGTTTATTTGTGGCTCCACAAGCGATCCCAGATCCCGGCATTTTTCCAGAAGGATCTCCTTCAGGACACGGTCCCTGCTCAGTAGCCACTCTGGATTCTCACCAGACAAATCAGAGAGCTCACGGAGGACCCGATCCCCCCAGAGAGCACCTCTAGATCGTCAAATAAACGCAGATCAGCCATGATGCAATGTCAGGTTCCCGAGGGTCACGGGTGTCTAAAGGTTTAGCAGCAGGCATGTGGTGAAGCTGTGTCTCAACAGACATCATTAGGGTCAAATAACCAATGGATGACTAAGACCTTCAGAGTTGTGGTTCCCCCGTTCTACCACTAGATGCCGCTTCTACGCACAGTCAAAATGGTAAATACCACATGATGCATAAGATCCTTCCTACCTGTGAAATGTGGACAGATCTTAGCATAAGTTTGGTTGATGAATGAAGGCCACAGGTGTGTTGGGGCAGGAAACGTGCAGGTAGGGGTCCTCCAGCACCAGGGCTGGCATTGTGCTCAGTCACTGGCTTTGCATATTTTTGAACATGTTCCAAAAGAAGCTGAGAGTTGTGTGATGGACCCAAGAACCCGGTTTTGGAACCAGCAGTCACAGCCAATGAGTTGCTGGTTTAAATCCTCCTACTGCTGCACATTATTCACCAACCTCCTCTAATAAACCTGGAAGATAATCCCTACAGTGGTCCTGAGTTAGCCTGGACTCACAGGAATGTCGTTGGTCTCAGGGTAGAGGGGCGGAGGAGGTGGAGGAGAGGTGGGCGGGGGTACTTGGACTTGAGGTTGAGCTCCATACAGATACTGAATGCCTTGCTTGTCATCTTCACTCAGCTTCAGCGGGTAGAAGAAGGAGTAGTACTCGTACATGATGGTTTTTGGCTTCCGTGAGTGCTGCAAGCCCAAGACATGCCCAAATTCATGGGCAGCAACCTGCAGAAGGTCTGTACCTGAAGGGGAGGGAAGAAGACGCACACCTGGTTCAGACGGTGTCAGGAAACAGCTGAGTGTGTTTGTCAGCAGCAGATGGAGGGGATTTTGCTACCAGAGCCAAATCCCAAGCAGCCATAAAAAGTCCGTCTCTGTGCTGACTCATACCTGCACTCGTTCACCTGCTGACATGACGTCAACCTGTCAGACATGTTGGGCTTCAATATGTGTTTAAGTACAGCTCATGATAACAGCTTTTAAATGTGTCTTTGCAGCAAATAAGGAAAACAACAAATAAGAAAAGGTCAGCAAGGTCCCTTTGGAGGTTGTCGAAACTTCAAACTAGAACGTAGAGTGACCCCGACACTCACCCATGTGGTTTCCCAGAGTCCACGACTCATCGTAGTCGAAGTGAATGTCGCCTTGTCGGTGAGTTTTGGGGAAGAAAGCGTGAGCGAGGATCCCACCCGGGCCGTCAAACGGGAGGTTATCTCCATGGTAATAGCTGCAGGTTCATAAAACAAACTCGTCGTTTTTCTGCAGCTGATCCAATCCAAAATGACAAACGTGAACTTTGAACATCTGGATTCAAATCTAAATATCTGGAAGTTAATTGGAAGCAAAAGTAAAAAAGAGCAGTGAGGACGGATAAATATGTGACCTGAAAAAAAGACTAATATCCAGTAAATTGCTGATTCAGGCGTCGGGAAAACCTGCAGCGTTCCTGCAGGAGGAAAACAAACAGAGCTGCAACAGAACGTGTTTGGATCCGCTTGTTGTTTCTCGCTCCTATCGCTCCATCTTTGGGCTTCTGCATATTAAAAGTCCTTGTCAGAAAATGGAGATTTCTGATTGGTCATAAATTCACCTGCTGGGTTCTGATGATTCCCTAATTTGCTCCGGATCCAGATTATTATGGTTAATGAAAAAATCCACTGCATTTAAGGTCTGGATGACATCATGATGACTCAAGATCTTTTGTCCAGTATATTACCCACAATGCAATGCAGCTGCTGCCTTCCAGAGCATGTTTGATAGACTCTCATGCTCTGTCTGCCCTCAGATGCTGAAGCCTACCTGGTGAAGTCGATACGGATGTCGGCCTTCCCGCTTCGGACCTCAGTGAAGGTGAGAGGTGTGACATCGCTCCAGATTTTCACTGCCTCCCGGAAAACCCGGCGTACCTTTTCCTCGCCCATCTGCCAGGGAAACCTAACGATCCTGCAGGAGACGGCGCAGGTGAGCACGCGCAGAAACAAAAAGACAGGAAGTAGGCAGCAGCTGTCTGCCCCCACCTGTTCAGCATCACCTGATCACTGATAAAAACCACCTGGCTGGAAACTTCTGTGAATGCATCATCTAGTGTGAACGTGTGAGTGGGCGTCATTGTTGCAGCTTTTGGAAAACCTCTCAGATGTTTTCTTTGTAATCACTGAGCGATTGAACGGCTGGTGAATGAAACAATCCCACAGATTCCAGCAAGTAGCCTGCCCCGAGGACTAAAACCAGCAACTTTTCTTATCTAACAAAGATAAAAAGGATTATTTATACTTTAGAAGTAAAAATTTTCAGTTTTCTTTAGCTGCCACTCTTCAAGCTTGGGTGAGTCATCCTGTCATTTAATCCAAACGATTTATTAACCCAATGGTGAGTTTGTTTTTGAGAATAACGTCAAACTAAATTTATATTTAATCTTGTTATTGTCGGGAAAAACAACCAGAGAATCACCAAATGCACCCTCTAGTGGCTGGCTGCAGAACAAAGTACAAGCTCCGCCCCTTCCATCTAAACAAACGGGAGCTAAGTTCTCCTCAGAGAAGATACCAGCTGCAGCAGAAGGTCCAAATATTCACTTTTCTCATTTTAGGTGTCATCAGGTGAGTAGGCGGGGCTTACAACTCCTGCTGACTCAAAAAAACAACAACACTGTAAACAAAATATTGTGGCTCTGACTTTGAGAAAGAAAGCAGCAGATTTCCGTCACATTTGATCCTGGAGTCTCGGTAGTAAAATGCTGTTGTGTCTCAGGTTTGCTCACAGCTGGAGGAGAGTTAGAGCTGAAGCTTCGTGGTTTCTAACGATGCCCGTCGAGCTCCAGCTGTGCAGAAAAACCCATCACCAGACGGTAAACAAAGCTAATGTGCATGTTCAAACACAAACGGGACCTCCTGCTGCACAAAAACCTTTTAAACTATGGAGAAAAACAGCAGAAGAATAAAGCCTTCAGCAGCAAAAGGTTCTCGAGTGTTTTAGTCACAGCAATTCAGATGGGGTGCTTCTGATTGAATATTTAGTGAAAATGATGTATGAACCAGTCTTCCGGGGGCAAATGTGGAAGAAATGACCAGAGGTTTGTGCAGAAGTTGTTGAACAATGTCCCAGAAAGCAGGGGCGCCTCCAGAAAATTTTGATGGGGGTGGCCAGATGGGGCCAAAACCTATTTTTTGGGGTGGCACACACCAAATTGAACCTTGTGGTAACTCTGGGAGAGTTTAGCCTGTGGCGATGTGCTGCATTGCTCCTTTATTCATTTTTATTAACAAAGCAGTACGTATCCATAACATTTAACTTAAATTTTACAAACAAACATTTCAGAAAAGTACATTTCAGTTTTTTTAAATGTTATTCCAGTTTTAACTTACAATTTAATGTTTTTAGGTTAATTCACCTGTTGCTGTGTTCACAAAAAAACTATGGAGATAAAAACCTTTTTAAAATGGTGAGCAGCAGAAATCGTAAATTTTTATTTATTTATTCTGATTTTTAATACTTATTGATTGTATTATTTTTATTTTGTTTTACAATTGTGTCTTGAATAAACAAGATCAATATACGGTTTGACTGAACATTAATATGATTTGTTGAAACTGACTTTTCCTGGGGGGAGGGGGGCATGGCCACCCCTTGGGGGCACCCTTGCCTGAAAGGCATTAAGGGCGGGGTGCAGATTATTAAACCAGTTTAAGCAGTTTGGAGGGATTTTGGTGCAGAACGGAGCGATCCATCAACCTGCAGCAAGTCGTCAGTAGTGCCCGTCTTTATTCCGGAATACGGTGATGCTGGTCCTTCAAAACAAACACCTGCAAAAGGCTCCGGAGCCTTTACACGGCCTCTAAGTTAAATTTTTCCAGTTTCACCAGTAAGGACGATGTTGCTCCATATGTTGTGGTAAAGAACGTTCCAACTCTCACCCACAGTCACAGGATTGGAGTCGAGCCCAAAGAGACGGGATCCGAGACGCAAGAGGCCAAAAGCTGTCCAGGAGCTCGTGGTTGCCGTGGTTCTGGTTCCCCCGCACCACTCAGGTGTCACCTACTCAGACCCGATCCAGCAGAATCTAATTAGGCTGTGGCCGGCGCCCCTCCGCTTCTGGCTTTCCTCCCGTTGGCCTTAATATGCTGTCATGTTGACAATGAAAGGGACCCTGGGAGACGCTGACATGGAGGCAGCAGACGCCGCCAGACTCTCCGTGGTGCCACGGCTCAGATGAAAGAAACCAGAACTCAGAACTTTTTTACAACCATCAGAAGTCCAAGACTTCACGTTCCAAATGTTATCTGCTCCCCCGTCTGTCGTCGTTAGTTTGAACTCTGTCGTTTCGCGTGGTTGAGACACGAACATCACTCTGTTCTCCAGCAGCTGCTGTTTGGCTCCGGAACGTTCTGCTGCTAAAACATCTGCAGGCTGCAACCGGAGATGAGGCCGGCCGGCGAGGGGCCTGCGCCGCTGCAGGAGCACTTTTCTTTTTCATACTCCCAAATATTCATTTTGTTTTCATGAAACGAGTTTTCTCACATTCAGTCGCCTCCTCAGGTCCTTTGTGTGTCTCAGATTGCATCCTGAAGGTAAACGATAACCTAACAGGAAAGAAACGCGGCGGCATGTAGGGTTCAGGTTTGTCGGAGCCAGTGGAAAGAGCCGGTCAGACGGAGCTGAGAAGCAAAACAAAGGCAAGACAAAACAAGACTGGTTTGTACCTGTAGGTGAGGTCCCTCTTATCGAATCGTCCTCCGTGGAGCACAAAGCGTCTCTGGCGGTTTCGCCCTTGATAACTGAAGTCCTTTTGGGCGGGGAAGTCCGGAACGCCGCAGCGAGGTCGCTTCCACGAGGTGTTGGAGGGCAAACTCGCTTCGTTCATCAGGTCCTGAGTATGTGGAAGCTTTCCTCTCCTCCTCGGATCAGGGAACTTCTCAAAGGCCTAAAAACAGAGTTCTGTGTGAGGAGTTCGTGTTAGCCGGTCCCTGTGAGGACATCCACGGACTTCATCTGATCAAGTCCGTCCGACACAAACACTAGAGAGGAACGCACCCCCAAAGCAAGACTTTCAGCGTTTTCCTGCAGATTTAATCGTGTGTGTGTGTGTGTGTGTGTGTGTGTGTGTGTGTGTGTGTGTGTGTGTGTGTGTGTGTGTGTGTGTGTGTGTGTGTGTGTGTGTGTGTGTGTGTGTGTGTGTGTGTGGAGGATAGTCTAAACTCATCAGGGGTCATGACGAACATCATTCAGGTTGACCTCAGGATCAGGTCACTGTGCCCCCTACCCCCCACCTGACCCACAGGAAATGACTCTGCTCATTTCCACTTCAGCAGATTAGAGAAGAGCCGTCCCATCAGCTGCCGTCGTTCCCTCCGATGGAAAGCACATCTGCAGCGTCCTCCTATCACAAAATTACGTGCACTTCCTTTTCCGCTACAGCTCGGAACAACCTGGGAAAAGACGCTATCCCTTTACTGAGCTGGATGAAAACCAATTAACTCCATCATCAGATTGTGTGGACCTCTGCTGTTACACAACCTCTCCTTCCATGACCCCAGTGACTCCTGTCTTTGACGTTAGTTCCCAGCTTCATTCTGGACGCTTAGCTTTGTGGAAAATGGATTTAGTTTCATAATTTTGGATTTTCAGACCGATTCCCATCCTGACAAACCCGACTGAGTGTGTGTGTGCAGGACTGGTGTGTGGACAGCAGGACTGGAGTCACTTATTTGATTCAGGACCAGACAAAGAGCCCTGGATCAGATTGGTGTCATTCAGGAACCAGACTTTAATGATGCTCACAACCTGCTGAGCATCCTGCTCAAATGGGAGTTGGAAGCGAGCAAACAAGGTAAAGCCAAACAACAAAGTCTAATAATAGAGGAGGGATGGGAATAACATGAATCAGCCGTGTTTTCTAGGATCTGCCGCCGTAGGTAAAAGAGAACAAAGCCCAGCAGGATCTGAGGAATGTGCTCCAGTCTGCAGAAACGGAGTGACTGATGGTTCTGAATCACAGAAAAACAACCGTCGCCTTGCAGAAGGTATGACTTATGTCTGCAGAAATGAGTGCGAGCTGTCTGACGTGAGCTTTATCTGCCTTCCTGGAGTCAAACCAGAACAACATCAGCCTTATCTCGGGTGTAGAGCCAATCTGAAACGTATCAGTCCGCTGCCGACGGTGAAAACCGCTCGCCTGATGATGTTTACTAGAGTTGTGTGTTCAGGTCGGAGGCGAGGAAACGCGGATCAGACTGAGCAGAATGCTTTATTTAACCTGTTTTAGGAACATGGGTTCTACCTTTGTTGGGATTGAGATTTCAAGCGGTCATCTGTGACGCTACGGTCTCAACTGCAGCATGAAATCCTGCAACTCGGAGAGTGGGCCATTTGGACCTACTTCCAGAGGGAGGTGGATTCCAGATTTGAGATTAGCTTCATGGGGAGGAGAAATGCCTGATGATGCACGTGGGCTACTTTCTCCTGATGCAGGCCTGAAATTAAATTAGAAAAACGGGTATGGAACCTTTAAAGCCTCCACATGGAGCATCAGGATTAGTACCTTCATCGCTAACCTGTCATATCGGCTCTGTCAGCACCCTCATCCGCCGAATTCACCACACCTGCACCCTGTAATCATGTCGTCCTGTTCACCAGTTATGTTCCCCAACCAGTCACCGGTTCGGCCAGGTTGTTGAAAGCTTCTTGCCAGTAAACTCTCCAGCTCTCCTAACCTCTGCCTGAATCATCGATCCGACCTCGTTTCTGAACCTCAACCTGCTCCCTGCCTGGATTGTTTCTCTGCTTCTGAATACCTGGACTATCGACCTCGGACCTGCCTCTAGTTTACCCCTCCTGTCTTTGATCTCCCCGGCTCTGACCCTCCTAGTCCCGACCACGCCACAGTCTGGGTAATACAACCAATCCCCGACTCATATAAATAAATCTGTCTTACTGTGTCTGGTGTCTTCACGGGTCCCCAAGTCTGTTCTGCCCATTAGTTTAATTTATTTATTTATTACTGATGTTTTACAATGACCTGATGATAAATGGTTCATAAGCATTTTTGTGTCAGAATCGGTTCTGTATTCGCGGAGTTATGGTTGGCTCGACCGAGCCAAGATGGGGGTGCCACATAATCACACAGCTGTTGTGGTGTTCTTCAATAGCAACTTTAACTAGTAAGAATACAGTTAGGACTAGGATGATTATATTATTGCTATATGAAATGGGAATTACGAGGAGGTCTAATCATTGATTAAATGTTAAACAGCTTGCCATATCAGCCTGGTTTAAACCCCACAGCCTTCTTGACTAATGTTGCTAACCGTGTCTATCGCTTTATTTTGAAGGAAACCCTGGGTCCTGAGTGCCAGAGCAGATTATCGTGATTCATCTTGTCTGTCAGCAGCTTTCATCGTCTGACTGATCTCAGATCTGTGCTACAAACAAGATTTACTGGCTCCACTTTTTAATTTCCTCCATGTGACAGTTTGATGTCTAAAGCTGAGATGTAACAGAAACCCCGCCCACAAGTCAGCAGATCACAAACGTTTTACACACACACACACACACACACACACACACACACACACACACACACACACGAATGCACACGAACACACACCAACACACACACACACACACACACACACACACACACGAACAAACACACACACACGAACACACACACACACACACACACGAACAAACACACACACACGAACACACACACACACACGAACAAACACACACACACGAATGCACACGAACACACACCAACACACACACACAAGAACACACACCAACACACACACACACGAACACACACCAACACACACACATGCGTGCGCACTCACGCACACAAACACATACACACACACACATACACACACACGAACGCACACGAACACACACACACACAGCAACACACACACACACGCACACACACACACACACACACACACACACACACACACACACACACACACACACACACACACACACACACACACACACACACACACACACACACACACACACACACACACATACACACACACGAACGCACACGAACACACACACACACAGCAACACACACACACACCTACACACACACACACGCACACACACACACACACACACACACACACACACACACACACGAACACACACACACACACGAACACACACACACACAGGAACACACACACACACGAATGCACACAAACACACACCAACACACACACACACACACACACACACACACACACACACACACACGAACACACACCAACACACACACACACACCAACACACACACACCAACACACACACACCAACACACACACACACACACAAATGCACACGAACACACACCAACACACACACATACACACATACACACACACACACACACACACACACACACACACACACACACTAGGTGGCTGTTTTAAAACCAGACCCGCTCAACTGTCATCAGTTTCTGCTGAGGAGACACAAAATGAACACACGTCCCAAAACGCCTGAAGGCCTCGGGGATTCTGCTTTACTCATGCAGACGTATCCTGTGATGTGTGTGTGTGTGTGTGTGCATTGGGGGGGGGGGGGGGGGGGGGGGGGTGTTGCAAGTATGGACAGATCTAGTTTCTGGTTACCCTGATGCCACCCAGCAGTGATTAGGTTTGTACACCAACATCTTGATGCACAGGTGGTGTTTCTGAGGAGTCGGCCATAAGCACTCCTCCCTGATTGGTCAGGAAACCTCCAGGGTCCAGCTGAGCTCTTGATATGTCTTCATCCAGGCAGCAGATATCTCAGTTACGAGTCTTTAGACAGGATTATTCTGACTCAGGATTGTGACAGTGATACGGTTACGTAGCAGAGAGTCTCATGAGGTTTGTTCTCCATGCGACAAAGGCAATGCAAGGTGATCATTGCAGTCATTGGAATAGATGCTAATTGTCAGTGTGACATAGATCTGACTGGCTTTTGTAATTCCAGCGTTTCCGCGTCTTTTTCTATCGGCGGCTGATCCAGGAAATGGGGTGAAGACTATTTTCCCGGTTGTCCTGCATTTTAAACTCCGAGTGGCCGGTCGTTCTCCCAAAACAACAATTAGAAAACATGTTTCTCAGTGAGTTTAGATTTTTTCATGAGTTGATGCGTCATTTTCAAATTAGAGGTGAAAATGTAAAAACTAGAATCTGGTGCAAAAGTCCATTAATGTCAGCGATCCAGCCCAGACTGAGAGAGCCTCTAAAGGCTCAGGAACCCTCTGCAGGTGTTCTGGATGCATCAGCTGATCAGAGCATGACACTTTGAGTCTAGATTATTAAACCTTTATACCTTTTCCTCCACCTGAACCAATCCTTTATATAAACCCTCTGATCTCTATTAAGGTAGCGCGACTCGGGTTGCGAATGACCACAGTCACCAATTCTAGTCATATGTCTTGCCCATGTATGTCTGATCTCTTAATTGTGTGTACTGAAACTCTAATTTCCCTCTGGGATTAATAAAGTATCTTTGAACTGAATTTGAATATTCTGATTGTCGGAGGAATCAGTGACATCATCATCATCATCAGATTCTCCATTTTTTCTAGTTTGACCTGGAATGTTAATTTAATGTCAACATTTTTAGCCAGTTTTAGAAAATCCATTTAATATAATAAATAAAACCTGAAAAAGACAAAAATAAATAAGAAAAAATGAATGTTTGTTTAATCTAGTTTATTATGGTCTGTAGACATTTGTTAAACACTGTTCTGTTAGCCTGGAGCTGCAGAAGAGAAATAATAAAATGTGTTTTACTTAAAGACAATCGGCTCAGGGGACGCTTTGTTTTAGGTGATTTATTTACTGGAAAGGAAACTGAACGTCTTTAAATTAATGTTTCACAATAAAAACAGTCAAATAAATGTTTTAACGATTTAGAATC